GGCTGCATCCATTAAACTGCACCACTGCCAGGTGGCAGCAGTCACACTACTGGCCTCTGCCCCTCTGCCTGTGGGTCGCTCCCTAAGCTTCTGAAAATAGGGTGTTAATTACTACACTGTGAAAGTGATTGTTTGAATGTATCCACAGTTCCAAAGTGCACTTGATTTCAAGGGTCAATGCATCTGTGTTATGTTTCAAATGTGGAAAACTGAGGCTAAGTAGTTTCTTTAAAAGGAATCTCCATAGGTCTCTGTCAGTATAGTACAAAGCAGAGAAACAGGCAGATTACCTTGTTTTTGTCTTTTGAATTGTTCTACTTCCACTTTTTGGCCTGTTTGGCAGAGGTGGTAACAAAGTCCCTGGGCAAAACAAAAACAGAAACAATGACACTACTACACTACCACGTCAATAAGATATTAACCATTCTAGTTGGACACTGCCCCAGTCTGGTTTCAGACGCTCGCCAGAAACTCAGGCAATGATGCAAGGATTCAAAAATCAATACTCACTCTCATCCAGTTTTGGATGAATTTCTTATATCCATGAAAAGATTCAATGAGGGCCCGGGTTTTCTGATTAAAATATTGCTTAAATGTTCATTTTAAAGCAGATTAATAACCATTATAACAGTTATAACAAGTTTGTACAAAAGGGAATACAGACAAGCAAACCATTCAGTCAAAAGTTCAAAGATACTGCTCCGGTAAGGGAGAACGAGGTTGGTAGTCACACTTTTTTACTTTCATTTCAATCCGTCAAAAACGTAATCTTTTACAGATTCCCTTTCAATGTGCAATAGAAGCCTTAAGTGTCAGGTAAAGTGTCTGTGTTTAAGTGTAAAATGGAGTGCCCTTACTCTCCTTAAGCTTTTTTCTTTTCAAAAGATCTAGACTGTCAAATACATCTTGTGCACTTCTGACAACCATCCCTGTTGTGGGGGATGGTTGTTAGTCACACACTATGGGGTTGATTGTCCCCATTTTATTTTAATGGGGAAAAATAAAAAATGGAACCATTATTAAATATTTTATTATTAGAAATGAATTAAAAAAGTAAATAAACAGGAAAAATCAAGTGCATTTTTATCCTGTTTTATCCATAACAACGGATATACACTTGCAGGTGTGCAGTCGTTCTTGCACAGGATGCACTGCCGCCATGTTTGAAAAGGGCTCCTCACACACCAAACAGAAACATCTTCATCTGAGGATGACTCTATCTCCTGTCCCTTCCCTCTCTTCATTGTCCATGTTGATGCCTTGGATTTCTTCAGCCAATAATTCTATTAGTTCTATCTTGACAAATCAACCACAGATTAAACATGTTTAAACAACTACATCAACTTTTTTTAAAATAATACAACAAACAATTATATTTTTGTATTTTATATTTCAGGTATAAGACCAGAAACAAACTGGATGCGTTACATGTGCGTCGCAGCTGTGGGGTGTCTTGGTTTTCATTTCAGCGCCCATGTTAATGGGCTAGAGCGGACACACTGAGTCTCCCGCCTCGTGGCTGCATCACGTGGTCTAGAGATTCGGTGTCTCACCCATTTTTCACATGCGTCTCCCAGCACAGACAGAGAAAAGACCTGTTGATGTTATATTGACATCATACCAGCAACATTACATAAAACTGACACCTTCCACTATAGTTTCTACGTCTAGGTTGAATCTGAATATGACAAATATTTTTTTAACCATTATAGCAGCTGCATGTGGAGACAGTGACATTTTAGCGACAGTTAAAAAGAAATCAGAAATGTATTCTGCAAACTTCATGTAATGAGATGGAGCTGGTGGTAGCAGCGACACAGCAGAGAAGCAGCAGTGTGAACACACATGTGCACACTCAGCGACGTCAGCCGCAACGCACACGCAACGCAGGCAGTGCGTTCCCGGCGTCAGCGACGCTGACACTAAACAGCAGTTCAAAGTTGTATTTGTCACTTACAATGTACAGTAAGCAAAACAGTGAAAAAACTATTAGATTTTTTTCCCCGATATAATGATAAATATTTCATATGCTGGAAAATATTGATTTATTATCAAATATTGGCCAAAGTCTAATAATGAGCTCTTTCCTCTTACTGCTGTTTAAGACCAGGTTGTTATGGCACCACTCTGCCAAGTGTGCTGTCTATAAACTGTATCATCATTATCTGACATCAGACCCACTGCTGTAGTGTCATCTGCAATTTTATGATGGAGTTTGAAGAGTGTATGGGGTTGAGTGAAGAGGATTAGGCTCAACATGCAGCTCTATTGGAAACCTATGTTTAAGAGTAGAGTGGATGAAGTAGATCAAAGTATAGCAACAGTCACCAGTCTTACCATCTGTACTTATGAGATTGCAAATAGGTTTAAATTTTCACATTACTAAAGATAAACCTTATATTTCAAGAATGGGAATATACTCAAATATAAAAGAAAAAGCTGTAGGTATGTGTTGTACAGTGCTACTGTATATTTACTTATGGTGTCAGCTCCCATGCATTAATTGCTTAGGGTGGGAATTTCCTGTACGGTATGGTATAAAGGCTGACAGCTATTCTGATTGCAAATTGTGGTGCAGCCCTGCCATACGGAATGTATTGCAAATTTCAAAGCAAACTAGCTTTTTTCAAACACTCCACCGCCACCAACAAAACACTAGATGAGGGAATATCTTGTGGAAGAATGGTGTTCCATCCTTCCAGTTGAATTCCAGAGATTTGTAGAATGTATCTTAAGTAGCACTAAAGCTCTTCTTCTTCCTCAACTTCATTTTGATGGCACACTTACTGGGCACTTTATTAGGAACACCATACTACTACAAGATGTTGAAACTGCTCCATGTTGACATGATGCATCACATCATTTCTGCAGATCTGTCAGCTGCATATTCATGCTGCCACTCTCCTGTTCTACCACATCCCAAAGGTCTTCTACTGGGTTCAGGTCTGGAGACTGGGGGAGGCACAAATCATCCATCAGACCAGGCTACGTGTTTCCAGTCTTTACCTGTCCAGTGTTGGTGAGTCTGTGCCCACTGCAGCCTCAGGTCTCTGTTCTTGGTGACAGGAAGTGGAACCTGACGTTGTCTTCTGCTGTTTTGGTCCATCCACGTCAAGTTTGGACGTGTTGTTCACTCTGAAGCTTTTCTGCTCAGCACAGTTGTAAAGAGTGGTTATCTGAGTGACCATAGCCTTTCTGTCAGCTACAACCAGTCTATCTATTCTCCTCTGACCTTTGACCTCTCTCATCAACGCAGAGCTGCTGCTCACTGGATGCTTTTTCTTGTTGGCTCCATTCTGAGTAAAAACTCTCGAGACTGTTGTGTGTGAAAATCCAGGAGATCAACATAAAAAATAGTCAAAGTCATTGAGTCACATTTTTTCCTCATTCTGATGTTTGATGTGAACATTAATTAACTGAAGGTCCTGACCGGGATCTGCAGGATTTTACATTGCACTGCTGCCATGGTGCAAGTGTACAGGTGTTCCTAATTAAGTGCTCAGTGAGGCAAGGCAAGGCAAATTTTGGTGCAATGCAAATTTATTTGTATAGCACATTATTATACACAGCAGTCATTCAATGTGCTTAACAGAAATAAAGCACATATACGCATTAAAATAGAAGTACAGAGAACAATAAGAAAAATGGCATAAAAACACAGATTATAAAACAGGCAAAATGCAAGATTAAAAATTAGATGAAGGAAGAGGAGAGCAGAGGAGAACAGGGCAGTTTTTAGACTCTTTTTAAAGGTAGTTACAGTTTGGGAAGATTTGATCTCCAGGGAGAGCTGGTTCCAGCAGGGGGCAGCATAATGGCTGAAAGACATTTAACCTTGTTTAGTTTTAACTCTAGGCTCCAATAACTGAAGAGCTGCTGCAGATCTCAAAGACCTATTTGACTCATATACATGGAACATTTCTTTAATGTATTTAGGGCCCAGACCATTTAGTGACTTATAGACAATGAGTAAAACTTTGAAGCCAACTTTGTATCTGACTGGAAGCCAGTGCAAAGACCTGAGAACTGGAGTAACATGCTCTCTGTTCTTGGTATTAGTAAGAACCTGAGCAGCAGCATCTGAATAAGCTGTAGCTGGCTAACGGTCTTATTTGGTAAACCAGTGAGGAGAGCGTTGCAATAATCAACTCTGGAAGATATAAAGGTATGAATGAGTTTCTCTGAGTCTTGATTAGACACAAGGTCTCTGACCCTAGCTATGTTCTTGAGATGCAAAAACGCAGATTTTGCATCTCGGAGACGCAGACAAACCAATATTCTTAACATGGGTTGAAGTCTTTAATGCTCTAGACTCCAGGTAGGCACTAAGTTGCAACCTTCCTTCTTTGTTCCCAAACAGAACTATCTCATTCTTCTCTTTATTTAATTGGAGGAAGATTGATTGCATCCAGTCATTCACTTTTTCAAGGCACAGACACAGAGAGTCTGTGATTGTATATTTTTAATTTGCAGCTATACCACTTCTTTAAAGAAAAATCCACAAAATGTTTTCTTAACAAATTATTGCTTTAGATCTTTGGATGTAATAAACCCATGTGTTTGAAGTACTCTGTTTTCCTTTCTTGACAACAACGTAAATGTTTATTAGCCAACGTCATAATTCACCCTCTGAAACTTATAAAGCCTATAAAAATGCAAGTAAAGCCATTACAGCCTTCACAATGGAACTCCACTGTAATAGTGAAGATTATATCGTTGTAAAATCCTTCAAATAACTGATACTTCATATTTTTCCGCTGCGCGCTCCCGCGGAGCTCATGCACTTTCTGGTAGGCAGACAGTCTCCGCCCCGCTCTGACGTAGCAAAGATGTGTCCTCTATTTTTAAAAGAAAATAAATTACATTATTTTGCGTCTACCTTATAAACAATCATAAACTGCCTGTAATACATGTGTTTTGGATTTTGTTGATTCTTCTCTTGATATTGAAACAATTTGTTGTTGCCATTTTTACGCGGGAGGTCAAAGGTTACAAACAAAATGGCTGAACACAGTGAAGCCGCATCCACTGTGTTGTAAGCAGCCGGACAGAGAGGGTATATTTGAATGTTTCGATGCGCGGGGACTGTTGCTGCCATTGTGTGGACCTGTTCTCTTCTGTACAACACTCACTATTATTCATGGCCGACTTATAATTGTGGATACGTTGATTGTGGTTGCAGTAAAAACACTGTGCAGCCGTCTCCGGGGGACACACACCGACGCTGAAGCAGTCATTACAGCGCTGGCTGCTGCATCTGACTCCGACTCTCGTTGTTCTGTTACATATAACCTTTTTGTTAGTGTCCCCGTACATTAGAGGACACCTTTTTCACTTTTGCATTCTGATTAATGTTTGAGCTTCCTGAATCTGAAGCTAGCGAAGTAGCCCAACACGGCGCACCATAACGGAGCAGTGGTTCGGCATGTTGAAACTTCAGTCAAGACACAGCAGCAAACGAAGATGAACAGGAAGAAGGATAAAGGATTTGAGAGCCCACGTCCCTTCAAACTATAAGTTCCCTTTATATAATTTTCTCTTTGTTAGCTTTAAAATGAGGTATATGTGTTGAATAGTGAAGCAAAGGTAAAGCTGTCCTAGCTAACGTAACGTCAGTTTAAAGCGTACAGACAGTAACGTTACAAGTAAAAAACAGTTTGAAAATATATCTGTTGGAGTAAATAGTTTAGTTCACCGATGAGATTTCCATCATATATTTACGTAGTTTTTCTGTCACTGCTTTTACGACCCATCAGGTGGTGTGCATCAACAACATCAACTTCCAGAGGAAGTCTGTCATCGTGAGTACACCAGTTACAGTTCACCAGAAAGTATAAACGGCTCTCCAGCGCGTAATATTACACCAAGCTGCATCCTGTCCGGTTACTGCACAATCTGCAATATAATAATGATAATAATAATAATAATAATAATAATCATAATAATAATAATGATCATGATAAAAATGATAATAAACTTTATTTGTATTGCATCTTTCATACGAGAAATGTAGCTCAAAGTGCTTTACAACAAAGAAATTACATGCACCAAGTGCATCACATGAAAAGACATGAAATTAACGTAAAACGTGTTCAATTATCATAATGAATATAATATTAATACAATAAATATTCACATAGTACATATTTATATCTGTTTACTATGTTTTGTTCACATTATTATTGTAAACATTTTATTAAAAAAATATTCTATTCATAATTTAAGATAACTGACCTGCAGTACTTTACTTTACTTTACAGTGCTTTATCTTTCTTTATATTTTTTTCTTCTTCCCTTGTTTATTGTTATGCACTAAAACACCAAAGCAAATTCCTTGTGTGTGGAAACCAACTTGGCAATAAACCTGATTCTGATTCTTTAAACATTAATGTAAAATGAGATAGAATAAGAATAATAAAATCACATAGGAAAAAATATACATAAATAGATAAAAATAAGTTAAAAAAAGACTACTAAAACGTTTTGTTTGAGATGAAAGTTATAGTTGACAGTAAAAGTTGACTGCTTGATAGCAGGGCTCTCTCTTTTCTTGTCCATCTATTTCACACATTACACTCATTCAGTCGGTGAAAATCACTCCCTGCTTTAAGGTTGATTAATTACTATGTATTAAAAAGTTATTACATTGGCATCTTGGGTGTATTAGGCAGCTAGTCTTATGAGTCATCATTTTTATTTGCTAAATATAATGCAAATACTGTATGTGTCCGACTTAAGCTACTTACTTTGTTACAGCCTTACAGAATCATGTTAAACATAAGTCACAAGGACATGTGAAGAAAAAAACACTTGTTCCCTCTCTGGTTCTAATCCACACAATGAAAATAACTTCAGCTGGTGATTACAATTGTCGTCCATCTTCATAAACCTTTTTTTTTTTTTGCATCCCTTAGGGCTATGTCGAGCTGACCATTTTCCCCACAGTGGTGAACCTCAACCGGATCAAGCTCAACAGTAAACAGTGCCGCATCTACAGGGTTCGAGTCAATGAGCTAGAAGCCCCGTTCATCTACAATGACCCCACGCTAGAGGTGTGCCACCATGAGTCTAAGCAGTGAGTATATCAGTCTACTTTTGCCTGTGCGTCTTCTGATTACCTGATGAGCTGTCAGAAAACTGGAAATATATTCGGTTATGACAGTGAGTTATGTGGTAAGACACACATCTGTTTTCTAATAAGAAGTGAATCGTTTTATTTATCTCCTCACATACTGAGGGTTTTCTTTTTTTTCATTAGTGTTGACTGCCAATTTTTTGTATGTGTCTTTGTAGGAGAAATCTCAACTATTTCTCTAGTGCCTATACAGCAGCAGTGAGTGCTGTGGACCCTGATGCAGGACATGGGGAGCTGGTCATCAAAGTTCCCTCTGAGCTCTGGAAACAAGGAGATGGTAAGAGGCAAAGAATAAAAGCCACCAACAATTAAAGAGGCTCACAGAGTTATTTTGTTCATTACTGATAAAGTGTAGAGGTGCCCTGATCACGTTGTTTTTGCCTCCGATACTGATGCAGATCATCTATGAGTGAGATCGGTCGATACCGATCATTTTTGACATGCATTGCAGATGGCGTGCGTTATATCAGTCTCACACACTTTGATAAAGTTCCACACGGCCGACATGTTTTGTTTTGGTGGCTTGTTGCGCACTGGCGCAATGAACAAGGTGGGAGGCGGGGCTACACTACACAGCACACAGACACCAGAGTATTAACCACAGGTGATCAGTTTTAAGGTGATCAGTGACTATGAGCACAGCTGATCTACCCATCATGTATTTTTAAATGAAAATGAAAACACTAATATTCCTGTGTTTTGTGTCTCCAGATTTGAAGGTTTTAAAGGTGTACATAGAATTTTCCCTGGACCAGCCTAAAGGGGGTCTCCACTTTGTTGTTCCTGATGTGGAGGGCAGTATGGCGGAGAGAGGAGCTCATGTGTTTTCTTTTGGATACCAGAACTCCACCAGGTATCAAACAAATGTGTTCATAATTACCCTGTTTCATAGGAGTTGATTCAAATAAAATTTACTCGTTTTTATTAGCTGAGCTTTTTATTAGCTAAATGGAAAATGGCAAGTACAAATTAATTCCAGTAAGAATGAACCGTGCCATATATCACCAGGTGTATCGGTCTGTTTGCAAGCAGTTTTCTAAAAAAAACAGCTGACGAGTGCTCTATATACTGTATTTACTGAGCATTCAGAAGGTATTCAGACCCCTCTACTTTTTTTTTTTTTACATTTTCTGTTGCAGCCTTTTGCTAAAATCGTTTTAATTCATGTTTTCCCTCATCAAACTACACTCAAGTACAAGAAAAGGCAAAACTGAAATAATACACTGACACTGTAATATACTGTATTCAGACCCTTCACCATCTTTCCCTTTCCTTTTTGGACATTTCCTTTGTTTTCGTGCAGACTCTCACAAACATAAGCCACAATAGCATTAGTCATTGTATTTGTTTGTGTTGTTGTGCTTAAAGCTCATAATGTTGACTTTTACCCCAGGTTCTGGTTTCCCTGCGTGGATTCATACTCAGAGCTGTGTACGTGGAAGCTGGAGTTCACCGTGGATGCTTCCATGGTGGCAGTGTCCTGTGGGGACCTGGTGGAGACCATCTACACCCATGACATGAGGAAGAAGACTTTCCACTATGTCCTCCCCATTCCCACAGCGGCCCCTAACATCTCCCTGGCTGTGGGGCCCTTTGAAATCCTGGTAGACCCCTACATGCATGAGGTAGGTTTAAATGATGACGCCGCATGTAGTGTGGGATAGTGGAAAACAAAAAAAACAACATAATATTGATTATTGTTGGACCACATAATGCCGTGCTTCATCCTCCAAAAATGTGAATTTACTTTTATAAAATGAAATAGTGAACACAGTGTCACTTAAACTTTCTGGCCAGTGTTTACAGTAACACAAAGAACAAGAGTCAGAGGAGCCAACAAATCACATCGTGCAAAGAGCTCCAGAGAGTCTTTTCTTTTTCAGTGAGCTGAGAGTTACCGTTGATCAACAGGGACATGAGACAAACATTTGAATCTGAGATGTGAGGATTTTCTGCTTTGTGTGTTTTATATTTCTGTAAAAGGAACATCTTTAGGTTTGTAACCCACCGGTCAATCACTCACAAACACGTGTAGTAAGAGGGAAAAGTGTCAACTATTAGAATATTTACTGTTATAATTGCTTAACAACACTAAAACTACTGCCATCTGTAAAACATTTGGAGATTAGGGACTAAACTGAGTCTTTGTATTTACTACTAATCACCACTAGATGTCCCTAAACACAAGGCTCCATTATTGATGTTAATGTTTCCTTCTCTCCTCAGTTTCTTTCTAGAGCACATGACTGCATATTGAAATCCAATAAACTTAATTACCTTAATTATAAACATCAGAATCAGATTGAATGGCCAATAAACACACACAAGGAATTTGGTTCCAGCAGTTGGTTCTTCTCAAGCAATACACCATACAGACAAATGTACACACTATTTACAGACAATACACAGTATCCAAGAAATTTACTGATTATTTAACCGGCAGTGCAAGTGTGTGTATGAAGCTGTGATGTATTATTTAGACGGCAGCATGTGTGATAAGTGTTGAAGAAACAAGAGAAGCTGTGACAGAGCAGATGGTACTGGTCAGCTGTTTATGAGGGAAGACGCTGCTTCTGTGTCTGGTGGTGTTGGTGGACAGGATTCTGTAGCGCCTGCAGAAAAAAAAGGTTGTGTCCGTTTTCCTTGCACCTGGTTCATGAAGAGTATGTGTCATGGAGGGTGGACAGGGGAGAACCAATTCTTTATATGTTTCTGTTGCAACATATTTATTTGATCCATCTAAATATCACTCAGTCAGTGTAATCAATTTAAATTAGAAATAATAGATGTAGAATTGGCATTGGATGATTTAACTAATTAATCCAGGCACCCTTTGAAATGCTTAGAACTGAAGACAGATTATTCCCCTGGTTCTCCACAGAGTTACCAGTGATGTTCACAACAACAGACAAATCCAGAGCTGTAGCGAGGCGTACTGGAGACGGAGCCTGTTGGCTGAATTTTAGACAACTTAGAAGTAATGTACATCCTCCTTGAGAAGAGCAGAAGCCAATTATCAAATAGAATTAATCTGCAGCTCCAGGTTCTTCCATTTCTCTTGGTCATCTTTGAGATGTTTTTTACTCCTTGACTAGAGTCCAGCTATGAATGCAACTGTTTTTAACTAGGTTCTGCTGTTGTTTGTTTTCTTGTCAATTATTTTTGTGTGTATCTATTCTGTGTGTACTTTTAAGTGTACTTAAGCTTTTGTAAATAAGGTGATTTGTCACTTTGTTTACTCTCAACGCAATTGAAAATGAGGGCATGCCGAGGTAGAATGTAGTGTGTGGACACCTGCCTCTGTAGTCTGTGATGGTAGTAAATGCAGTAAAGACATATAAAGGGGACATCTCATATTGTGTTATTAGGACAGTGGTAAGACAGAGGAACCAGAACAGACAATAGTGTTTCTGTTGTTGTGCTCTGACTAGAGAGCTAACTTTAATAGCACCAGCTCTCCGATGTTAGAATTAGCCTCTTTTCTCTGTGTTTTAAATGGAATATCTGTGGGTTTGAATGTTTAGTCTTTTTTTATTATAGACATTTTTCACTTTTCACTTCCTTTTTCTGACATTTTACAGACCCAACAATTAATTGACAGAGTAATCATTAATAAAAATAATCATTAGTTGGAGCCTTAATCGGAAAGGCACCATATGATTATGTAGGCCTAATTACTAACTAACACTGTACTTGGTCTCGTCCCCTCTCAGGTGACCCATTTCTGCCTGCCGCAGCTGCTGCCGCTGCTCAAACACTCTATGTCGTACCTGCATGAGATCTTTGAGTTCTATGAAGAGATCCTGACGTGCCGTTACCCTTACGCCTGCTTCAAGACTGTGTTTGTGGACGAGGCCTATGTGCAAGTGTCCTCCTATGCATCCATGAGCATCTTTAGGTAATCATGATAGTGTGTGTTCCCCTGTTCCTCTGTCCTTTCAAGTCACGATAGGTTTGGTATTTCTGTACTGTCATACATGAAATTACCAGCTATAGAAATTTTATAGCAGACTGCCATGGGTTCAGGTTATACTCATACTGTATCACATTCACTCTGAGATTTGATCTGTTGCCTCTGTCTTTCAGTACCAACCTGCTTCACAGTGCTATGATCATAGACCAGACCCCACAGACTCGCCGCTGTCTGGCCCAGGCCCTGGCTCAGCAGTTCTTTGGCTGTTTCATCTCCAGGATGTCATGGTGAGCCTCCAACTATTAATTGTCATTGTTTATTTGCTGTGTCAATCAAAAAAACAGCGACAACTTTGATGACATAATTAAGATTTATGACTTAAGAACTGAAACTGTCCATGAGATCATTGACAGGAACTGAAAGCAGAACTGGTGTGGATGTGAATGCCTTGGTGAATAATGTGCAGGTGTTTTCGTTGATACAGCGCTTCCTGATTACCTCTGTTTTGATTCTGCTGGTGTCTGCAGAGATGGTTATTTTAAAGAAAGCACTTATGATCAGAAAAGGCAACATTGGTCACCACAACCTCAGACACATCTATGCCCTTGGAAACAATTAGCTCTAAGATGTGTCCCCTGTTATGGGTCGAATCTCTGAAGGTATCCAGAATGAACAAAAGTTAACCTTTAAAATCTCTTTATATGGTCACCTAATAGCAGAGTCTTTGGTCTTTTTGAATGTCCAGTTCACGTTCTGCTGTGATTCTGTTTTTTGTTTTTTTGATGATATGACATAAGCTTTTGCAGCCTCAGGTCTGTTGTACACCGCTGAGAGACACTCCTTGTGGGCTTAGCTATATCACGGTTCTTGGCCTTAACAGAACCTGCAGTACCTGTTCTCCAGCCGAACTCCTGTTGAGACATCAGTGGTAGTACTTCAGTTGTGACCAGTCGCTGGGTTTGAGAGGTTTTATCACTGAAAGATGATTCACCACCGGGATTCCAATTAGCTCAAGAACTAATGTCCTTGAAACAAGGACTTGTTTTTTTCTAGATGCATTAAAATCTATCACTACGGACTGACATCTATGTCAGTATAGCCGTAGAGTCAATTTTGGCTGGACCGCGACAGTGGGGCTATCCCTATAATCTGGAATGTCCCTGACTGACTGACTGAGTGACTGGTCAGTATAGTGCCAAGCCACAGTCTACTGAGACGCTCTGGTTTCCCTGCTGCTCGGGAACTGCAGGGAAGAGGAGGAGTGCTTCCAATACACTGAGCTGCACCTCCATTACAGCAAATAAACTACTTTGATTCCATGTATCATTATTACTAAAGGAGACAGAGGAATAATTAAACATAAGACTCACAGAGCAATTTGAGGCTTCATACTACAACGACTATGACCAACTCTACATATCAAACAGAGGGAGTTAGACATAAAGTCCTGCCTCTAATAAAAGTCTGTGAGTTGGAGTAAATAAAGACCAAACTATTGTGGATCCCAGACAGAGTCTCTGCTCTGTAGGAGAGACTAAATAAGAAACTAAATAAGAGGTCCCGGTGGCTCACTTGGGCTTAGTCCTTGCCTCGGCGGCCTGGGTTCGAGTCCGGCCTGTGGCCCTTTGCTGCATGTCATCCTCTCTCTCTCTTACTCTCACTCTCTCTCTCTCGCTCTTTGTCTCGCTTGTTAGTATTATTCATCATGTCTCCCCCCTCTCTTTGACAGGTGCCCACCTTTGAGTGTGTTGATTCAGAACAAATATAAATACTCTGACCTTTAGATGTGATCAGACGATGTGTTGTATGAAGTAGGTGGTTTGAATCACTGGGTGATATCATGGGAAGAGTTGCTGTGAGTTCAGCCAAGGACAGAACACAATAAGCTTCAGAGGCCAGACTTGTATTTAATGGAAAAGTGCTGTCATTATTGGATGCGTACAAACCATTTTCACTGGAATCCAGGCCGTCAGCCGTTCTCTCCATGGTGTTCAGGTCTGTTTGGAGAAGTGTGGTATCATTCAGACCTTTTCATATATTCCTGATGATGAGAGATATACTCCAGGACTAAGCCTTTTTCAGTTCTAGGAATCACACGATGGGCCAGCACCGGCCCGAATGACTGCATCCGCCAGTATGATGGATCACTGTGTTACTGCCTGGCAATTTGGCCAGCGTGGTTGGTGTGTGTGAGAAGCTGAGGGAATAAATCAGGGGTGTTTTGGTGGTTTGCTCGTGTTAAGAGGCCCATCAGTAGGACTTAAACACTCCAGTGCCTCTCGTACTGTTGATGATAAATTCTTGCTTGTCCTTCCTTTACCTCCTCTTATCCTCCTCTCTTCTCCTATTTTCTGCTCTTTTATCCTCTCTGACCTCTAAACACACATCAGATGTGGGACCTCGGTTTGCTTATGTTGTTGAGCTGGCTGGTGTGTAAGAAAAGACCTCAGGAAAAGTCAGTCAGATCCCTTTGATTTTAGTAAAGCACGCCTGCTAGCAATTAATCAGAGAGGGGCCTGTAATTGAAAACAGGCTGAGCTCAGAAGCTTAAAAGAGAGCGGCACGAGAGAGAAAGAGAAACTGTTGTTTTCTAAATCTGTGGAACTATGTTGACAAATAGTGAAGTTTGTTAAAAGCTTTGGAGAAACCGGAGCTTGGTTTACTGAGCAAGGTTAGAATAGTTTGGGGTTTTTCATTTGTTTTTTTATTTTATATTTGTTTTGAATTTTTGCTTTCAATTTCAGTTTAGCTTTAGTTTAGTTTTTATTAGTTTCAGTGTTAGTGTTAGTTTTTTGTAATATGGGTTATTTGTCACGGCGAGATTCAAAAAGTATAAAAACAAAACATCAAACCATTAAAAAAAAATTAAAAAATGTGTTGACTGAGGACAGATGAACAACCATCCCCAAAAGACAACTATAAAAGATGTGTGCTTGTGTCATTAACTAGAAAAAATTTAACTGGGCACAACTGTTTGACATCATTAATACAGTGAATGTTTTGGACACTTCAAGTGCACATGTACTGGTCGTACACTGGGAGCCAGACAGCTGCTAAGATAGATTTCATATCCACCTAATATACTTGACTTTCGTATAAAATAAATTGACAAAGACGAAAACTTAAGACATTTTCTCTCTAATTTTAGTTTGTTAGTTTCGTAAACACACAATAGAGTTTCAGTTATGTTTTTTTTATTTTGTTATTTTTGTTAGATTTAGTGAACCGTAATAACCTTGTTACTGAGTATTAATACAAAGAGTGGATGAAATCTTTAAAGAAAGGAAAACACTTCTCTCCATAATGCTGATTACAGCGTATACACAGATTAAAGCGTCTCATATTACGTAAATCGGGCTGGATCCAGCTCAGCGTCAAACCACCAAGGTTGAATCAGCGTGTTTTCTCTCTCTCTTTTTCATGGCCTAATAAATCCGCGTTTGTAAATTTATGAGAGCTGAGATTGCCACGCCAGGTTCCTTCCAAGATACCCCGAGGGGGAAATTCACAATTACAAAATGATGGAGCAACTCGAGTGTGGCCTGAAATGCTTTTCAAAGGTTTTCCACATTGAACGAGCTCAAAGACAAAGTGTGCAAAAGGACTGGAAAAGTCTGCTACTATTCATTCTGAATGATTCCTGGACATTTACCATAAACATTTAACTCACCCACAATGAGTTCATTGATGTTTTGTAGAGTTTTGTGTTTTGAAAGCTGACTCTGCAGTGACATGACATGTTGTTGCTTCTCAAGGGCTGATGAGTGGGTGCTGAAGGGAATCTCAGGTTACATCTACGGCCTCTACTTGAAGAAAACCTTTGGCGTCAATGAGTATCGCCACTGGATAAAAGAGGTAACACCTTTATTTTAATCTGTTTTTTCTCTTCTCATCCTGGCATCATGCACATCAGGAGCAACCTCACAGATGTTCTTCTTTATTCTATAATTTCTCTAAATTCTCTTCTATAAATTTGTGGTGTTGAACAGGAGCTGCATAAGATTGTGGACTATGAGCTAAAGATGGGAGGGGTTCTGCTGCACCCAACCTTCAGTGGAGGCAAAGAGAAAGACAAGTAATACATTTAATCTCATGTTGAAACGCTATGCAGCGATTTAATGTTTGAAGTCTTAGTTATGACTTAACCTTTTTCTCTGCAGTCCAACTCCCCACCTCCACTTCTCAATCAAGCACCCCCACACATTGTCCTGGGAGTACTACAAGATGTTCCAGTGTAAGGCCCACCTGGTGATGAGGCTGATAGAGAACAGGATCAGCATGGAGTTCATGTTGCAGGTCAGGAACAACCAGAGTCAACATCTCAACAAAAACTGCTTTACTCTTTATTATACTGAGTTTTGACCTCGTCTAAGTGGTTTTTTTGCCTCCTCTATGCTGCCCTCCTTTAGGTTTTCAACAAGCTCCTGAGTCTGGCCAGTACGGCCTCATCCCAGAAGTACCAGAGTCACATGTGGAGCCAGATGCTTCTGTCTACTCACGCTTTCCTCAAATCCATCTCCAACGTCTCTGGCAAAGACATTGGCCCGCTCATCAAACAATGGGTGTATCCTTTATCTGTAATGATCTCCGTCTGAAAATAGTAGGTGAAGTGACTGGTCCTCAGTCGCCTCCCTGACCTGTCCAGTTACACTCAGCTTCAGAAATGGTTTTATACCCTTGCCCTGATCTATGCCTCTATGTCTACAGAGAGTTCCTTGGACTTCATGATGTTTTTTTTTTACTTGACATGTAATGTAAATTGTGAGACCTTACATGGACAGGCGTGTGTCTCTTTAGACTATGTCCAGTCAGTTCATTTAAAGGTGGTTCTAGACTGACCTCAAGAATAATTAGAGCAAACAGGAAGCACCTGACCACAGTTTGGAGCCACAGCGAAGAGTCTGAATACTTTTGTATTGATGACCGAAATGGCAACTTTATCCACTTGAAAAATGATAATTATCAAAAGTGACTAAAGGTGATCAAACAGCAGGAACAGTTACCATTGAATGGAGTCACACAAAATGCACACAAGGGAAATATGCAAGAATAAAGAAGAAACATATTTATATATATCATATTTATAACAAGAAATCAATTTTCTAACAAGAAGAAATATTTTACAAAAGTTTTTTATTAATACAAGTATCTTTTTAATTTCTTAACCGTTTGGTAAATCGGAATGCTTCGCACATGAACAGAGTTATTATTTACTCTTGAATTGAAAAGAAACTTGAAATATGAATAATAATAAAATATATTTGCAACCTATTTTCACTCCAGCTGTTCTTGGTCATCTGTCTTAACCTTTGTTGTTCAGAGACCAGAGCAGTGTGGTGAAATTCTTTGGAAGTTTTGCCTTCAACAGGAAGAGGAACGTGCTGGAGCTGGAGATCCGTCAAGACTACACGTCATCTGGAACCCAGAAATATGTGGTGAGCCTTCAGATACAGGATGTGGAGGGAGCCAGAAAAAGAAGCAGCAGTGTGAGAGATTAGTGGGCTGCAAAAGAACCATTACATAATCAAACCCACTGACCCACTTTATTGGACGACCTTGCAGTAATTTGGACTTTTCTCTGTCTGATAATCCTCTGTGGGCGGCACGGTGGGGCAGTGGTTAGCGCTGTCGCCTCACAGCAGGAAGGGGTCTTTCTGTGTGGAGTTTGCATGTTCTCCCCGTGCTTGTGTGGGTTCTCTCCGGGTACTCCGGCTTCCTCCCACAGTCCAAAGACATGCAAATGGGGACTAGGCTGATTGGTTACTCCAAATTGACCATAGGTGTGACTGTGAGAGTGAATGGTTGTTTGTCTCTGTGTGCCCTGCGATGGACTGGTGACCTGTCCAGGGTGTACCCCGCCTCTCGCCCGAAAGGATGCTGGGATAGGCTCCAGCCCCCCCGCGACCCTACTAGAGGATAAGTGGTAGAAAATGAATGAATGAATGAATAATCCTCTGTGTATTTTCCCTGCAGGGTCCCATCAAGGTGACAGTGCAGGAGTTGGATGGGTCCTTCAACCACACTCTGCAGATAGAGGAGAACAGCCTCAAACATGACATCCCCTGCCACTCCAAGAGCAGACGGTACCGACTACAGCAAAACACATTAGTTCATTCACACATGAGCGGTGAATTCTGCATGCTTAATATTAATTTTATTACACTGTATATTCTATATTATATATGTTATAATGTGTTGTTTTACCATATTATTACCTTATATACTATTATCATATTATTAGTATATTCATTTAGAGATAGTTTTATATTATTACCTACCGTACTCTGTTCTAGTGTTTGCTTCGCTGACTTATAATATTCACACCATTATGTCACTTTGCTCAGATGATTATTGATTATTAGTTTAAGGTGCAACTCTTATCATGGGCACTGTATGTATGTTGCTTGCCTTGTATTTTGACTTCACTTGCGCTCATATATTTTTGTTATTCTTATATTTTCTGCCAATGCAACATCAGAGCTTCCCCCCTGGGATCAATAAAGACTTTTCAACATATTATTGTTAGAATTAGAAAAAAAAACTAGCATACAAAACACTACCTGTTACTGTTACCACCAACCATTAGTTGGTGTTTCAGTTGTTCAAGGTTCCCTGTTGTCTAACACACACTGTCCATGGTCTCAGAAGTCCTGTGTCGGCAAAGTTCAGTGTTTGTCTGGCAGGGTCAGCAGCAGAATCCTATTTCTCTCAGTTTAGGACACATTCGTCTGTCATGTCTCATGACTCTTTACGAGCACAGATTCTGTTTCCTCGCCTGACTACCTGTCAGAAATAGAGAGAGAAACAAAGAACCTTTCACTGAGTAAATGGCTTTTAAATGATCAGCTATGGGATAGTATATCATTTGCCATGGTTATGTGGGTGCTGTAGTAGTTTTCATCCATTTGTGCAGCATATGTCAGTCATTGTCTTTGAGTTCATGTAAATCTTAAAGTCGATGTTTTCTCTGTGGTTCTGTGGTTTTTTCTTGTATGTTAATCTTGTAAGTCTCTATTCCAGCTGCGATGTTTTTCTCTTTGGTTCTCTTGTGTCTATTCTAGTGTAATATCTCAAAATGTCAAAAACAAAAAGAGTTTGGAAAAAAAGAAGAATGTTCCCCATGTTAGTCTTTAGCTTTTGACAAATCACTGATTGTTGTTTTGGTTTCTTTGCCCAGAAACAAGAAAAAGAAGATCCCTCTGATGAATGGAGAGGAGGTCGACATGGATCTGTCAGCTATGGAGTAAGACATTAGTGCTGCCACCGTTTCCTGTCTGTCACACAGTCGGCCACATCCACATGATTTAAATCATTCACACCTCGTTCAGGTTAAATGTTACAGGAAGGAGTTGAGCTACGTTACATTTGTCTTCATGAACGTGTCTCTTCTTTCCTCTGTAGTGCCGACTCTCCTCTCCTCTGGATCCGGATCGACCCAGACATGTCCATCCTGAGGAAGGTGGAGTTTGAACAGGCCGACTTCATGTGGCAGTATCAGCTACGCTATGAGAGGGATGTGGTTGCACAGGTGGGCTAATGACAAAAGTAGCTTTCCAAAGTGGCTTTTGTAAATCATTAAACTCACTTGTTTTTGGAGACGGATCCCTGCTCTTGTAATGCGTGCTTCCAGTTGGGATTGGTTCCATCAAAAGTAGTACCAGAAGTACTACTCAGTACTCAGTACTAATATCTCCTCCTAATCTCTCCTCACTCTTTAATTAGCCAAGAGTAATTCAGGACATATACAGTCTGTAGCAGCTTCTCATTTTTACTTGAGTGTCACTGTTACTTTTAAAGTCAAATACATGTCATTAACATTTCATCCTGTGTATTCTGCTGCTCTTCTCATTTACAGGTTGTAGCTGCAGGTCGTTATCTGTTACAAGAAGCTGTGCGTGTGTGTGTGTGTATCCGTCTTCTCAGCACACAAAAGCTGATTGGACATCTTTGAGTTCTTTTAGCCGTTAGTTGCTTACAAATGTTGAGTGTACCTTATCTTTCTGTAGGAGGAGGCTATCTCAGCGCTGGAGAAGTTCCCAACTCCTGCCTCCAGACTGGCCCTGACTGACATCCTGGAGCAAGAACAGTGTTTCTACAAAGTCCGCATGCAGGCCTGCTTTTGTTTAGCCAGGGTATGTGTTCCTGTGTCATTGTTTTTTATTATAAGTGTCTGACAAGATTATAGAAAGGATTCCTACACAGACAGACCTTTTTGTTTAACCAGAAACAGCCATTTTATGCTATGTTCAAAGTCTGTTGTGTCTTTGTTTGTGTGATGGTGTGGTGCTTTTACTAAAGTAAAAGTTTCGAATACTGCCACCACTGAAAGCCACACGATAACACAAACAAAACCAACCAACTGAGACAGCAGTAGAGCAGCAACTCCCTGTGTTCTGCATTGAGGTAAAATTAATGTTTTTGTCAATGGAGTCTGTTGCTTTTCTATAAAGGTGATGTCCGGTTACCAGGGCTCATCATAGGCTATTAAAAAGCAGAATATCTAGTTATAACCGATTAATCTTATGTGTGCAGAAGTCTATACGGTTATACAACAGCCTGGTGTCGTTTTCAGGTGATTTAATGAAAGTGAACACAGTGAACGGCCATGCATAACAGCACTGTGCTCCGCGCTCGTTCACAGGGCTTTAATGAACTGAAGGAGAAACTTTTCATACAGTATAAAGCAGCTGTGGACAGCAGATATTGTAAAGATCATCCACATTCATTCACAGATCAGTGCAGAGTGATTTACTGACTTCCTGCTTTAACCACATTAAACGTCATTTTTTAAAGCCTGACGTTAAGAATCATATGCACACACTTATGTGCATGTGCAGTCGCAGGGTGTGCACACAGAAGTTTGTACACATGCACATCTGTGAGTAAGGAATCACATGTGCACATGGCTAAGTTGTTTCTTATCACACACAGATGCACAAATTGGGCTTTTAGTAATTAATCACACAAGCTTATTTACAAGCGTCTTGTCCTCTCTCTCTCTCTGTGTGTGTGTGTGTGTGTGTGTGTGTGTGTGTGTGTGTGTGTGTGTGTGTGTGTGTTGTTGGTGTGTGTGTGTGTGTGTGTGTGTGTGTGTGTGTGTGTGTGTGTGTTCAGCAGCATAAAGGTTTTGAACATTGAATTTTACAAAGTGAAGCCTCCGAGCAGCAGCCTGGCTACAGTAGAACACTCATGAATATATGTGTGACACTACAGGATGTACTCCATTTCATCACACAGCATTTGAGAAGAACTCTGGAGTCTGTATGATGAATGTACCAGTTACCACAGTTGTCGCTAAAGCTTTATTTATACGAACCACATGGTGCGCAGATGACTGAAACAGATTTTTTCAGGACATATAAAGCACACTGTGAGTGGATGAGGGATTCTTCACTGATTAAAACCTACTTGTCTGGAATATGGAGGCCGATGACCGGTCGCTGCACTGATGGGAGTTCAGTAGTGATTGATTTACAGATGAGCTTGATGGAGCAGATTGTCAAAAGGTGCAAATACGTTTTCCCTAACGTTCCTGACATCATCTCAGTCTGTTCAGGGGTCACCAACCTTCAAAATAAAATGAATATGCAGCTTTTAATCATGCTCTGCTGTTTCTGTTTTGGAAGATAGAATTCTCTCAGCTCCTCATGACTTCTGGTGTCAGTGACAATGAGTCATTAACACAGCTCTTCTGTTTTCTTGTTTATAAATGTCACATGGAACCTTTTCACTGATGCACAAATTAACCTAATTTCCACTAAAATAATGATCTCATGGATTTACTATGTAAGGTCCTGAACTTTGGCCTGTCAAAGCCTGTAGGTCCAGATGGCCCAGATCTGGTTTTGTTTTGGTTCCTTACTTAGACTCCTCAAATTTGACAGAGGTCACATTAATGTGGTTTATCTGGTGGAAGACAAACTGTTTTTTTTTAAATGGCTCTGAAATTAATTTCAAATGGCAGTAAAAATTATTAAAAGTCACATACAGAACGTCAGAAAGTAGGATTGGTAGAGAATATATATGGAAGTTAGCTTGGTAAAGATGGAGTGAGAGTTGAGGGAAGGATACTGGGACTATGTGGACAGATTAGTAGATGAAAGAAAATGGGGATGGGGCTTTAGGTTCGGGCTAGTCAGATGAGTGAAGGTTTGGGAGGTCTGGATGAGTGAGTCACGGTGAGAGGGACAAAACAGAGGAACAAAGTTGTTAATTTTTATCTGTTTTGAATTTATGTCAAAATTTTGGGATAGAACTTGTTTTCATTTCTAATGGAAGATGACAGTATCTCGGACATACAATCTTTAGTGTAAACGACATTGTGGAAGTGAGCTACAGTATGAGAGCAACATATAACCTCCCCACCAGCGAGGCCACCCAGCAGTTTAACCCTCACTGCTCTCAGATCAGTTGACTGAATAATCCTGTTCTTCTGTGGCTGCAGGAAATTCTCCATTCTCTGAATCTGGTCGGTTCCAACTTTAACCCCACTGGATTTCCGCTGTTCAACTTCCACCTGAACCAATATTTTCACAGCATGATAAACTGAGTGGTGGCTGAAATGGCAGCACTTCACTTCTTCATTAAGTTGCCATGTTGGGCCTTGGTATATACTACTACTGCCTCTACCACCGCTACTACACACACACACACACACACACTTTTAACACGCATATAGACACATGAACTCACAGACGCACATACCCACACCGACCACAGAGCTCAATATGACTGACTTTAACCCTCAGCTGGGACCTGGCTGCGTTGTGATTGGCAGGGACAGCATTTACTTGCTTGTTTTTGGTAGAAATGTGGGAAGGCAGAAGGGATGGCCCAGGGCTGAAAATCTGACGGCAAAAACACATAAAAACTGACAAATGTTAAAAACACTTGACAGAAAAAATATGTGCACGCATGCACACACACATACAGGAGCAATGGTCTCATACTAGTGCATACTCCCCTTTATTTATCTAACCAAATGACAACATCCTGCGCCAGTGACCCTTAGCCCTTTATTACCACATTAACATAAATTCCCCAATATCCTGTTGGAGCTCAAAGACCACTGGAGCCGCTGGTCTTCATACCTGAGGAAACCTCATGTGTGCGTTTGCCTCTTACATTGTAGTTCAGTCCTCACCACAAAAATTATAACAGTCAGGGGGGACATTGTTATAATAGTTACAACATTCTTGACTTGTTATTTGTGTGCCACACAGTATTTCTCAAATAATCACTCTAACCCGTGTGCAGCTCATACTTCTGTGTACATTTTACATTTGATATGTCGAGCAGAAATCCTGAAACCAAACGTTTGTCCTCCACATGCTGCAGCTTGAACAGCACTGATCTAAAGTAATTGTGTAATGTGTTCATCTGTTCTCGTGTGAACTTTGCAGATAGCCAACGCCATGGTGAGCACGTGGCAGGGCCCGCCAGCCATGAAGTCCCTGTTCACCAGGATGTTCTGCTGTAAGAGCTGCCCCAACATCGTAAAGACCAACAGCTTCATCAACTTCCAGAGCTACTTCCTGCAAAAGGTATAGTCAGACAAACAAAATGCACTGGCAGGTCCACACACTTCAACACACACTGGTCCTCGCAACAGCTTCGTTAGTCGTCCTCGACTCTTATTCAAGGCTTGATTGGGGTATCAAATTTCTGATGCCTTTGTATGATTTTAGCTTATCACAGATCACAGTCTGAGGCTACTTTCCCACGTGGTCTCAGGCTTTTGGAGACTTCTCAGACTTTTTTAGTGGATTAAAACAGTTGCTGTTCCATATTTTGTCCACCAGAGAGCCCTGACGAGTTTGTTTTACAGCTGTAAAGTGTCACACTCAGAACATCCTCATCAAAAACTGTTTATGTTTATGTCACTGCATTTTTAAAGCTCCATCCAGTCTAAAGGCAGATGTCCATGTATTGTTTGATTATAGATCAGGTCTAGGTTCTATATTAATACTGTGAAAGTATCAAAGCCTCAGTCCACAGAGAAATACACACAGCTTGTATTCAGAAACTGAGCCTTAAAACCAGCCGTCAGGACTTCTGGAACTTTGTGATGTCACAACTAAGCAGTTACCAATCTCAGCCATTGCCCAAGCCCCGCCCAGCAGGACCCACCATTCAACATTGGATTTGGTTTCTCTGAGTGTTTTCCTGAAATCTACTACGATCATTTTTGACATGAATTGCAGATGGCGTGCATGTGAGACGTTCAGTCTCACAGACAGTGCTTCTCTCAGCCGCAGACACCCGAGTATTAATCACAGGTGATCGGTTTGAAGGTCATTGGTGACTAGAAGCATTATTTCCCATCTAACGGTCACATATTTTTTAATAAAAATCAGCTGATAATGATGAGCAGCCAGTTAATCGGGGCATCCCTATTTCTGATAAATCAACACTTCAACAAAAATACGGGACCGTTAATATTCTCAAATTTTGGTATCAGCCTCAAGATTCCAGTATTGGTTGTTTTCTACACTACAGCACACTGTATAACTGAGCTGATGTTGTTTTTTTTCATCTCTTCAGTAGCGATATATCGTGATTGATGTTTCATCTTTGTCTTAAATGTCAGACGATGCCAGTTGCCATGGCATTGCTCAGAGATGTCCAGAACCTCTGTCCCAAAGACGTCCTCAACTTTATCCTGGACCTCATCAAGTACAACGACAACAGAAAAAACAAAGTAAAGATGCATCTTTACACAATTTCACTCTTTAAGACTCAAACAAAAACAAATACACAGATTATACATGAATGGTTCTCTTGGCTTATTAAAAACATAAAAAAGACATTTGTTTAAATTTTGTTATTTTACAGCTGCCAACAGTAAATCTTTGTTCCCAGTGATCAGCAGAGGTATCTACTTTCTTCTCTTCCCCCCCCCCTCCACCTGTCCTCAGTTTTCAGACAACTACTACCGTGCAGAACTGATTGAAGCACTGACCAATTCCCTGACCCCAGCCATCAGCATCAACAACGAGGTGCGGACAGTGGACAATTTAAATGGCGACGTCCGGCTCATCCTGGAGGAGATCACCCGATTCCTCAACATGGAGAAACTGCTGCCGAGCTTCAGAAACACCATCACTGTCAGGTACAGAGCAGAAGGTGCTCCTGTGTGTGTTTTGTTGATGTTTCTCCCTGCAGCTCCTCATCTCAGTTTCACATCACAAAATAATGTAAAAATTCTGGCATATTGCTTCCTATTCATAAGAAAGGCTGACAGTTTTCTGAGCTTTCTCTCTCTTTATAGTACATGAAATACAGCACAGTGTGCAGTGATATGAGAAAGGGTTTCGACGTATTTTGTCAACTGAGTAACAAGAGAAGTGCTTCTTTTTTTTTTTTTGCATTCTTTCTCTTCAGGTGCACCATAAATGCAAATGTTATTTCACATAGACTGTCCTTCCAACTCTGTCAGTTTTTCCTGCATGTCATTCTGTTTTTTCACTGATTTATTCAGTGCATCTTTCATAGTCTCAGCCTCAACAATATGTGCTTTTGCTTCATTCAATCTGGTTCGTGAGCCTGGATTCGTGTGGAGTTCGCAGAAAGTTTTTGGTAAATTTCCTGTTTCAAGTCTCGGAGTTCGGTTTTCATGTTCTTTGAGTTTGTGTAAATCCACTTTATGCTCAGCCCTGAAATCACAATTTCCTTACCGATGATCTGGAGCACTGAGTGCATCGTTTCTGCTGAGTTGCTGTTTGAGCGTCTAGCGTCGTCTATCTCTGGTGAATTCTTTACCTCCTGTTTGTCATGTTTGTTTTGATTTTCTAGTTTTAGGTCCACTCATTACAACAAAGATTACAACGATTTATGTGCAATTATTTAATAAGGGGGGCGAGTTTTAGCTTGTTATTGGTTGCTGAGAATTATGCCGGTCTTTTTTTTCCGCTTATTTTGGAATGCAGATATGGAAGAGACATTTCAATTAAAATAAAATGTAAAATATATCATTTTTATTTAGTTGAGAAGTTTCCATCTCTAACAATAAGCATTGCAGGGATTTTTTGGAAAATAATGTCCATCTTTGTCATATTTATCTTGTTTATATTATTCATGTCTGTGTTACAAGTTAATAAAGTCAGCGGAAAAGGAAAGACAAAGTCACAGGATGTGAGGGTTGTATTATTTATTTATCATCTATGAAGTCACAAGAGTTCATGTTGGTGTTATCTGGACAGTAAAAGGCTCGTCACCTTTCTGTTAGTCACCTTTCTGAATACCTTTCATACAGCTGGAATAATCTGCTTCATTTTTCCTGTCTTCCTCTTCTCTCCAGTTGTCTGAGAGCAATCCGTCAGCTTCAGAAGAACGGCCACATCCCCAGCGACCCTTTACTCTTCAAGTCCTACGCTGAGTACGGACACTTCGTAGATGTTCGCATTGCTGCCCTGGAGGCTCTGGTGGACTATACAAGAGGTGTGACATTTAACACAAGTGATATTGGTATTGTTATGAAGCTCATGGATCCAGCTCACAGGCCCCTGGAGATCAGTATTATTGGCTCTTGCATTAATCTTAAATGAGTCTGTGTCTACGTTATAAATTTGGGGAAGCGGCTGTGCATTCATAGTGTATGTAAGAGAACACTTACTGCTCAGAGTTCAGAGGGGGGGGCAAATCCCCTATTGAAATGCCAATCAGTGTATAATTAGGACATGATAAGTGACTATTAGTTGAAAAAAAAAAAATTTGCACAAATTTGTATCCCTCCATGCTGGTGACAGCAGTGGGTGGAGGTATTATCTGTTCAGATTGTTCATCCACCCACCTGTCCATCCCATTCTCATGAACCTAATGAACATCCAACAGAGAATTTCTTTCAATTTGGCCCAAATAGATGATTTTGGTGGTCAAAGGTCAAAGGTCACTGTAACCTCACAAAACACATTTGTGACCATAACTCAAGAATTCATACTAATGCTACTACTTCATACTAATTATGACAAAATATAACTCAGATGTCTATAAGGGTAAAATCAAGTGATGATTATATATCCAAAAGGACAAAGGTCAACTTCACTGTGACATAATAATGTTCTGGTTATTATTCAACACTGTAACTCGGAGAGAGGAAGTTGTGACCATATTTCCTGTAATTTGATTTCCTGCAGCTGGAGATAAGTCTTTTTTTGGTGTTGTAGTTCGACTTTATAACGACATCTCTTGTTTCATCATTTTTCCCACAGTGGCATGTCTTTGTATCAAGGTTGTTGTGTTTGTTTTCTCTTTGTGAGCATGATGTTTTGTTTTTTGGTCTACAGTTGAAAGAAGTGCAGCAGAGCTGCAGTGGCTGCTCATCATGGTGCAGAACGACCCGACTCATTATGTCAGGTGAGTGGACACCCAGCACATCTGCACTCTGTTCACACACATTCATGCTGCACATTATGGACCTTACAGTGTCCTCGCCTCAAGGTTTCTGTTTGTTTTTATGTCATTACATCCCAACTTCCCAAATCTGTTGTCAGTTCTTATACAATTACATGAAACAGCAATGTGGTGAGAATATTAGAAAACATATTACTGATGGTCTGATGCTAATGTTTACCTTAGGATTCATGGAATTTAGCTCCATATGAAATGAATGTCAGCACTTTTGTCTTAGTAAAATTTAAAATCTTTTAAAGAGGAGATTTTAAAGTAAGAGAATATCAGTGATTTCACCTCTAATCAGAGGTGTATTTTTATTCAGTACCATGACTCCTTCAGGAGGTTTAAACTCTAAATTTTTCAAGAGTAACTTAATACAATAATTACACACAGACATGTGCATTGAAACAGTTTTCTTGCTGTAATTATTCCTCCTGTTCATAGTGGCTCCAAAAAAAACCCTCCACAAAATGATTTCACTTTAAGTAAAGGTTGACAGAATCTGCAGCCTTGTTCCATGCATAAATTAATTCTAAAGGTAAACTTTCTCAGTTAGGCAAGTCAAGTGGGTGTCTTCCAAAGTTAGAGAGAAATACTTGTTTTGTGTTACTAAACCTTCTTATTTCCTTTTTGTCATCCAATCAGACATAAGATCCTGGGGATGCTATGTAAGAATCCACCGTTCACAAAGATGACAGACTCGGCTCTGTGTAATGAAGCGCTGGTCGACCAACTCTGGAAGCTCATGAACTCAGGTGAGACACATGCATTGGGAGGTAAGCGAGTCAAACCTCTAATCAGAGGGTCGGTGCTTCAATTCCCGACTCCTCCAGTCTGCACGTCGAAGTGTCACTGGGCAAGATACTCAATCCTAAACTGCCCCTAATGGCTGTTCTATCAGTATATATGAGTGTGTATGGGTGTGTGGTATGTATATGTGTGTGCACAGTAATGAGTAATAAACTTTCATCACACTGATACAAACTCAGTGTGTGTGGTGCATCAGTCTGAGCTTGTGACTGGGGATATGACCGAAACATTTGTAAATCCTCCATCACCGCCGATCAGATGCAGTTGACAGTGTGTTGAGGATGTGGCGAACAAAGCTGTGGCCCTTTATCCCAGTTTTAGCCCTCCCGCTCTCCTGCAGGAACATGTCAGACTCAGTTGTGTTTGGTTAGAGTCAGTTCATCAAGAAAAGAACATTGTGTCTTTTAGCCTGGATTCTGTTTCTCTTTGGTGACTCTCTCCAACAGGCTGCTCAGTATTCTCATTAGGCTTTGGGGTTGTACAGTGTTGGATTCAAAAATGCATTAAACGGTCAGTGGGTTTTGGACAGTTTCTCTTCGGGTTTTTCGTTCAAGAACAAATTACAGCTTAGTTTTATACACTGCTCTGATGATGTAGTGTGGAAGCACACATGGACTGATCCAACTACAACTATGAGCAATTACACTGACAAAATTACATTTAATTCATGTTTAGTGTTTCTTACAAGATGAGCTCTCACGGCTCTACAACAAGTAACGCATGAAAAAAAATTTTATTCACTGACAGTTTCTTTGGTTTCACCTGGCACAAAGTTAAAGTGAATCCCTGTAGATGAGGCAAGACACTGCAGAGACCGAACATGTTTATATGTCACCTTAAGAGATGGGACATTTTCTTACTGTCTATCGAAGCCAGCAGTGCCTATTCACTATTACTCCAAAGTCTGTCACAACAGGAGCCAGTCTCATTTTACTAGTTCTCTTCTGGTTTCTCTGCGGTTTCAGATCTGAGGAGGAATTTAAAAACCTGCTGGTGCCGTCTGAAAGTTTGTCACAAGCTACAGCGGCTGCAGATTTAGTCTTGTTATTGACTTGAAAGTTCCCAGTGGCGCATTTCAGCAACAACTCCATGACTGTGACATGAAGTCTGGAACCACCAGGACTCCTCCTCGAGTCGCCAAACTCACTAACCAGACATTAATGGCTTTGGTCAGTGAAATGACCAAGAACCCAGCAAGGGTCATAGTTTTCTGCTGACAGAGACCAAGGAGAACCCAGTTCACCACCAGCCCTCTGGTTTACTGGACATACTGTTCTCATTTTTTATCCCTGTGCATTCAGTTCAGATGTTTTTTTGTTCTCCATGTTGCTACAGTGTCTATTCCAACTTAAGCCCCTGACAATAAGGACGTAGTCAGACTGAAGTCTTTTAGATAAACACATCCATCAAGTCACAGATCACAGATTTCTTTCTATCATTAATATCATCTGTGATCTAGAATCATCTCAGTCATAAAATGAGGTAAAACCATCACGTTCTGTCTTTCATATAGACAAAGGCAGAGATAAATTAACTTCCCCTTAGTCTCACACATGCAGAGCTAACTCCACAGCTCTGTGTCAGAGCTGGATGGTCTGCCGTAGGGGAGAAAGCACTCTGGCTTCTTTGCATTTCTTTAAACCAATCACAATCATTTTGGGCGGTGCTGAGCTTAGGATGCAGCGACAGTGTCCGATAGGAACCTGTCTTGGGGGAACATTTGCACTCTGGTTAAAATGGATGATTCCCTCGCAAAGAAAACGTCATAATCAGTAAAGACGTGTCAGTTGTGTGATTGTACATGATCCAGATCGTCATCAAAACGGCATGTTCGGTGTGTAGGCTGCAGCTCAGAGGTTGTTGTTGTTTCCTGTAGCAAAGGGGATTTTAAAGGTGCAAACAGGTGGGGGAAGAGGAAAGGGAGGAGAACGTCTCCCATGGCAGGTTTATAGTCTACATCCAGTGAGTTCCCCTTTACATGTGTTTGACTGGACGGACACATATCGGACTACTAAACCAGTCCTCTGTTGCTCAGCTCACTGACACTGATTGGATGGTGTGTGTGATCAGAATCGATCCCAGAGGGGTTTGAATGAACTGTTTTCTAATGGGTGATGAAGCAATTGTGTCTCAATCAGTTGGTGTCCAGACTTTGCTTCTCTTTGAGCTTGAAGCTAAAGTGAAGCAGCATCTGACTGCAGATATCAGTAGTTTGATGTTTCAATGTCTTTCAGGATTTTACTCGTTCTTTTCCTTTCTCTTCTTATCTCTGTCCATCTCTTCTTAGATATTCCTGTTGAGAAAAGCTGCAGAGATTTGTCTTATTTCCAGACACGTGTCTGCACATTCATTTCCTATTAAATGTATAACGATGTGCAGTACTATGCCTGTAGTACTGTGATTGTGCAGCTTGACAGAAGATGCAACTAACAATCATTTTCATTAATGAGTAATCAGTCTAATTTTTATGAATCATTTATTCTAACGTTCCCAGAGCTGAAGTAACTCTGTAAACTGCTTGTTTTGTCTGACAAAAACAAACATGTTGCATTTAAAAGATAGAAAACAAATTGAAGCAGCAAATCCTCAAATATGAGAAGCTGCAGCCAGAGAAGATCGGACATCTTTGATCAGTGACTTGATCGTTAATTGATGTTGAATCATTTGTCTAAGTGTGTCAGCACTGATCCATAAAGCTGACCACTCAGTGGAGAGCCTTTCTACTTTGTTTTTACAGCACTTCCTGGTTTTGCACCGACAGATACGTATGTCTCACGTGTTTACACAGTACGAACTAGTGCGACTCCTGAGGTCCTCTAGCACGAGTCTGTTAATTGTCCTGGAGTACAGGACTAAACCTTTGGTGTGGCAGCTTTTAGCTTTTATGCTCCAAGCAGATGGAACCCTCTGAGAGCAGCCGCAAGTGTTGAAATCTTTAACTGTAAACTCAACACAAACTTCTTCAGACTGGCTTTTAATTAAATATGGTTTTTTATATGGTTATATGGTTTCTTTATTTTATTCACTTATTGTATTGTATCTATGTTATAAATAGTATTTTATTCTATTTTATCTGTTATTTCATTATTCAGTTTTTAGTTTTAGTTTTTTTTGTTCGTTTGTATTACTATAGCTTTTTAATCTTTTTTATTGTATCTCATTGTCAGTTTCTTATTTGATTTGTCCTTTTCTTTTTAGCTCATCACTTGTCTGTGAAACACTTTGAACTGCACTAACCTGTATGAAAGTGCTATACAGATAAACTTTGATTGATACAGGATCACCAACACTTGGTCTGAAGCAAATTGTAAAACACTGTTTTTCTACAGTATCTTTCTGCTACATCACCATAACACAGTGGTTCTCTCAGATATTTGGCTGTAACAGAAAACCCAGCACACCCTCCTCGTTGGTATTAATTGGTCGTTTGGGAAACGCCATGTAACAACCCCAGTAACTCGGTGGCGTTGTTGTTGGCTCTTCTGTCCCTCAGGTGATTGTCATCAGTGTCTCTGACACATTGCTGTAGGTGCAGAAGTATCAGCAGCTTTTATATTTGTTGGCTCAGATGTTTGTCTGCTTTTTCTTCTTTCATTATTCTACGTTTGTTTCTTCCAATCATGAACTGAAGAAGGTTCAGGTCTACTTTTTGGTGCAGCGTCTCCACCATGGATGCACATGGTTCTGCCTTCTATTGTGTATTCAGGTTTCATTGTTGCTCTCTCTTTCAGGGGGTCCTATGTGTCTTTCAGCCAAGCCACAACGGTTCAGTCTGCCAATCCAAATACACACAGCCTCAAAACCCAAATACAAGTGTATGTTCACGATGCCATATTCCTGAAGACCCTCTGCCCCGACATGTGATTGAATTCACTGAGTTACAGGCCTGAAGGATGAACAGAGAGACAGCTGAACTTCTGTTTGTCGGTCAGTTGGTGTGGGTCAGTGACTCTGCTGCCAGTTTAAATACACAGGGACCAGCATGAGGGAACCTTGAATACTGTGTAATGAAAATGTGTTGGTTGTTTTACCCTCTCCTCCCACATAAGCCACAGCCCCCCATGTGTTAAACACCACACTCACACAGGATGATGTTTCACGGCTGAAGGTCAGAGCTGTAGGAACACAAACCTCAGAGAACTTTCTGCTGCTCTTACAGCTTCTCAAACTTTCACTGGCACCCCCCTCCATCGGAAGCCCCACTCCCCACCCTCCCCACCCGCACAATCATTAACAATGACAGGGGAAGGAGCTAATAAAAAAGGATCCATGTTGAATGTTAGTGAAATAAAGTGCAGCAGCAAACTTTAGTTTATTATCTCTATATAAAGAAATTTAATTCAGCTCATAGTTTCACTCATATGTTTCCCCTGGCCCTACACACCCCCCCTGCAGTGGCTCTATGCCCTCCCAGGAGGGCCCGCTGCATTAGAGTGATATATTTCAACCTTCCTCCAAAGCCACAGTCCACCCCTCTTGTTCGGCACCAGGCCTCTGAATCATCACCTTCAGCAGTATTTGGTGTTTAATTCCCTCCAACTCTCAGCGCGCTGCGACTCCACTGAACCGTATAATGATGTATTCAGCTTCATGTCGCTGAGAACTCATTATCTAGTGGTGCTGGTATTGTCTCTCGTGGGGACGTCAGGTACAATGTGTAGTTAAAGAACATGTAGGGCCTCCCTCAGCTCAGGTTTGATGTTGACTCCTGTTTTCCTTCCTTTTTCCCTTTTCCTCAGTCCTTTGTCTTTTCATCCCTCTGTCCCTCATCAGCGCTCGAACACCGACAGAGGAGGACCCTCTTGAAATTGCTGTCTCTTCTTGTTATTCTCCATAAAATTCATCGCCTAATTGAGGGGCTAAACATGCTTGAAAACTCATACAAACAACAAACTCCTCCTACAGAACTGATCAGATGGACATCATATTTGGTCAGTATAGTCTTAAGAACTTTGCAATACTAAATCGCGGAGCTTTTCAGTTTTTGTTGAATGGCCTGCCTGTGGTGCCACTGCGAATTTTGATGTTTCACCATGAAACAGGAAGTTGTTATAACACCAGCACACATCGTCCAAACCGGCCCAGGCTTTATACGTTTGATAAGGGTCCCAGCCTGAAGACATTTACATGCCAATATGAAGTAATGCTGAGGCATTCACACTTTTGTTATTCAAATCTTTATTCTTCTAATTCTTATTTTTCTTCCATCCCGTTTTCAGTCTCTAACTACTTCTTCATACTTTGTACTAGAGAAACCACTCAGCTATCAAAATTATTCAGCTTCTTCTGAAGATTATTGCATGAACTCAGTTTTTTCTACATATTTATCATTTCTGAAATATTACGCTATTTCTGCTATTTTTTAGCCATTCAAATGAATGGAAACGATGTTCAAATCCTTGAAAACTTTCTGCTCTTAGAACTTCAACTACTTCTGTATACTTTCAGCTACAGTAGAGACTTCATTCAAACTTTAAATGTTCACAAGGCTTTCAGCTATTAAACTTGTATTCAACTTTTCCATATCTTTTACTGTTTTTAAATTATTGCCCATTATTATAATGGGTGTGTATTGTATGGAATGTTCAGGGCTAGAGTGGATGACATCATCGCTAGAGTGGGAGACGCTATAGAACTTGTCTGAAAAAATCTGTTTTTTAGTCTTCACACATAATTTCCTCCTAGGTTGTAGCAAATCTGCGCTGTTTCATAGAAAGTGTCTACCTTAGCACAGAGACTTACAGAATTTGAACAGTGAGCCTCAAAGTGATTGGAGTACCATCCAACTATAGACTGCAATACATATTCAGGAGCTGATTTCAGGAGAAAAGTAGAACTGACCCTTTTTTGTAACTTGCTCCTGTTTCCTTATTTTTTGCTGTGAGAACACTAAAACCACATAGACGTGTTCAGGAGAGTCTTTTGGTGCTGACTGTGATAATTTTGCTGTTATTACATACTGTTTTCTATATAATGGCAGGAGTTTGTGAGATTCGCTGACCCCTTGCTCCCATAGATTTGTATGATTCTGTGTCTTCCACAGCCAGACTCTCTCTCTCTTGCTCTCTCTCACACACACACACACACATACTGACAGACACACATCAGCACCATCTCCATTGTTCTCAGGTCACCTTATACTGTATTTAGACTTGTTACACTCAGTACTCAGACCTTTCAAGCTGTTCTCTGGTCAGCTTGCACTGTATTTAGAATACTTACACTCAGTCCTTCAAACTGTTCTGAGGTCAGATTGGATTGTATTTACAAAATTTAAAAACTTCACAACTGAGACCAATTTCTGTCTAGTGTAACTGTTAAGAAATTAAATTTTCTATTGTTTAGAATACAGTTCATCTTTCTGTTTCTTTCTAATAATACAAATGATTTCTCACAGTTTTAAGGCATTTTATTCCTACTTCCACCTTTGGCAGTAAATGATTTGGCTTTCAACTGTTTCAATAACATGTTTCAGTCCTCGGCTTTTGCAGCTCCTCCAATTTAACATTTTGGCATCTAATTTTTCAAAGCACTGTACTAAGTAAATATGAGCTGCTTTTTAGCATAAAACCATAACCATTTTAGCATTGTTTCAGAAATCTCCTTCAGCTTTCAACTGACAGGCTTTTCTGTTTTGTACATTTTGCACATTTTTGTACAGTTTTGTTCTATTTGTTACACTTTCTATCAACAATTCAGGCCTTTTTCAACCATTTCATGCCATTCAATCTCCATCTTACAAGTTCTGGTTTTAATCTTCAGCCATTGCGTCAGCTACTTCAGCACTGCTTCAGCTTCTTCAGCATTGCTTCAGCAATCTCATTCAGCTCTCAGCGTTCACACGCATTTTGAGCTAGAAATGCATTTTCAGTGCCTGTGTTTCTTAAGGCTGCTCTGCAATGTGTGCAACCTTGATGGTGATGTGTTTGATTATCTGACAGATTTTTTTTAGGATTTTTTTGGGACATTTTTGAAGAAAACATTTTCATGTGAGGTGACAGGAGGCAAAGGGAAACAAAGGAAGGATGACCAGCATCTTAGGTCACCAGGACAAATTCATCTGTTGTCTCCATCTTACTCTCCCAGGTACCTCACATGACTGGCGGCTCCGATGCGACGCTGTGAACCTCTACTACACACTGTTTGGTCTGACCCGTCCCTCCTGCCTGCCCCTGCCTGAACTGGGCCTCGTGCTCAACCTGAAGGAGAAGAAAGCTGTGCTCAACCCTACCATCAAGCCCGAGCTCGGTGTCAGCACCGTCATGGACACACCTGCCAGTATAGGCATCCACGGCGTTGGCATGAGCTACGCAGCTGTAAGTGGTGTGGGATTGTTGATTATCAGGACAGTTAATGTCGTGTAAACAGAAAATACAACGTATGTGTGAAGCTATTTCAGGTAGACTATTAACTCACTTCATTTGTCATAATTTCATAATTGATGAAGCTTTTAAGAGATAATTTCATAGATAAGTATAACCAAGTATTGACTCCACTTATTTTAAATCAGACTTCCACAGATAGTAACAGTTGGTGTATGGTTAGATTTTGGTCTGTCATATGAGCTAGATCATCACTGGAAATGTCCTGGAAGAGTCCTGGAAAATGAGCTCTAGAAAAGAGTGAGAACCCTGATTCAAGGTTCTTTGTTTGTGTCTGCAGGTGGATGAAGAGCCAGATCCTATTTCATTAGGGGTATGCGGGGTGGGCCAACCACCTCAGGGCCTGAAGAGGAAGGCTGACACCCCACTGGGGTCCCCTCCAGAACCGGGACAGGTATTGCAGCAACAGGATGATGATGCAAGAGGAGGGCGCTACAAGATCAGGGTAAAGGACTTTTGACCTGCTCATGCTTCACTCAGCTTTGTTCTGCTCCTCTAAAATCATTATTCTGCTCAGGAATTAATGATGGACTTAAGTTTTACTGATGTGATGTATTCTGTTAATGTAAATTCTCTGTTTTGTCTTTATTATACAAGAATTGTACAGGTGATTTTCATGTGATTTTCATTGGTATTGATGTGAAGTTCTGGTCTGTTGTAGTTTAACACCATGGAAGAAGAAGATATTGATATGGAGACTGTTCATGACAGTCAAGCCTTCATCCACCATCATCTCAATCTGTTAGAGAGACCCTCTACACCAGGTAAGTGCACGCACAATATTTCACTCATCATCTGAAACTGAATAAACCCACGACCAGGTCAGTCACACTCCTTCTGCGCCTCTTGTTCCAGGTAAAGAGCCGCCGTCGGTCGAACAGTCTATGCTCTCCATGCCCGCCACGCCGGCGCCCTCCTTCTCTAAAGAGACCACCTCCTCATCCTCTAAACATGGCAGCGAGCACGGCCACCACCATCACCACCACCACCACGAGCACAAGAAGAAGAAGAAGAAGCACAAACACAAACACAAGCACAAGCACAAACACGAAAGCAAAGACAAGGAGAAGGAGAGGGAGAGGGACAACTCGCACGCCTACAGCAACAGCCCCGCCAGCGGCAGGTCCTTGCGCTCGCCGTCTCTGTCTGACTAAACATCTGGACAGATGTTAACTGGATACATCCATCTCACACTAGCAGACTCGGATCCCTGTGTGACACTCAGTGGAAGAAAAAACGTTCGGTTTATCTAAATATTCATGACTCAGTGATGAATGAATGACAAGGTAGGTTTGGTGTTCCTCAGCAGAAACAGCAACAGGAAACATGGACTGTAAACCCTCCAGAGGCGTCCTTGTGCCTTGTGTGTCTCTCTCACACACACACACACACACACACACACACACACACACACACACACACAGCATGCAGGAGTTTGTGGGCACTGCTTCCAGGCCGTCTGGGGCATGAAACCACACACCTCTCTCCACAAACAGTCTCAGCCGACCTCGTACGCCCGTCCCTGCTGCACAGACACCACTGTGGTGTGTCTCGTCCCCACAGCTGAATCCCAACATTCAGTGAGTGGCTTCTGATGGGTGGGGGGGGGGGGGTAGGATCCATCGTGGTGTGGATTTAACCATCCAAGACTGAATTCAGCCCCCAGTGTCTTTAACATCCTGCAAATGATATTTCCCTAAACTAAACAAAGGAATTTCACTGTACAATCAAAACAAGTAATACTAGTGTGTTTTTAAATACTTTCTGTTTTCCATCTGTCACCACTGATTAAAGATGCTGTTGTATTTATGAATGTTTTAGCTCCAGCTCCACACAAGGCGTTTACAGCCAGGTTCACTCTGGCTCTGGTTCTGAGTTGATGAGGTATTTTTTTTTTTAAACAATGGAATGAACATAAAGAATTCAGTATTCACTGTGTAGATAAACGTACTGGTATCAAACCTGCGATTCAGATGGTTAAGAACGGGTTTCTTACGTAATCAGCCTTTAAATCTCATCTAGTTTTTTTCTAAATAGCACAAATAAATTCTTAAGTAATCCCTGCCAACATTTATTCCCATTTAGTTCATATGAGCGTTTTTAATTCCTCTGTTGGTATAACAAACTGTTAAAATAGAAGACACACCAGTTTGTTTGTTCTTAATTAACAACAATAACCTATTGAGAGCTGTGAGATATTAGTTACAGTTACAGTACAAACTGATACAGATGTAGAGGAAAGAGAGAGAGAGAACGGGTTAAAGAAGAGTCCAAAGGCATTATGGGAAATTAAGGATGCAACTTATTTTAGGAAGTTTGGGGCTCACATTTTCTACATTGTAATCTCTGTTTAAATTTTGCTGATTTGTTTTTATAATAAATTGGATAAAATGAATCTTTGCTTTTATTCTTTAGATTGAAGAAGATGACCAGCATCAGTGTTGTAGTCAGTCGTGCAGCATCAGCAGTGAGAAACCAGGGCAACAGCAGCTACTTTAGATATCAATTCTAACTACTGTTTCCTTCAAGCACCATTTTGCATCAACACATTTTATTAAGTCCTTTATCGTCTCATAATATCAACCACTGATTTAACAAATCCAAAGTTAATGCATATGGCTCCTAAAAAACTGATCATTAAACTGAACAGATTTCAGGTAAACACTCAGAGAAACCAAATCCTGCAATGTTGGATGGTCGGTCCAGGTAGGCGGGGCTTTGGTGTATAGCTGAGGGTGGGGACTGCTTTGTTGTGACATCACAAAGTTACAGAAGTCCTGATGACTCATTTTAAGGCTCAGTTTCTGAATACAGGCTGTGTGCATTTCTCTGTGGACTGAGGCTTTGATACTTTCACAGTATTAATATAGAACCTAGACCTGATCTATAATCAAACTACACATGGACATCTACCTTCAAACTGTATGGACCTTTAAACAACAATAACCTACTGAAAGTTGTGTCATAATTTTAGTTACAGTACAAACTGTGTGTGGCAGCGGGGAAGCAAGTGTGGATCATCAGGTCTGTATATTTTCATTTTACCTTATTTTACCTGGAAGTCCCATTGAGACGAAAAAAACTCTCTTTTACAGCCACACAAACTGACGGCATATTAAAATACACAGACAGTTTATCTGCTGCAAATTGACTAGCCTGCGAGTGTTGTTTTGGGTCCCCATATAAAATAAAACCCCATTAACAATATCCATCTAATTTGGGGTTATGAGGACTAATATCAGCTGCAAGTATCTGAAAGTAAAAACGGTGCCATCTGCATCCAGGAGGTTCTGCTTTCTGATACAGATTGATCCCCTGTGTCAATAGTCATTAGAAAGTTTCTCTGTTGTTCAGCGAGCTGCCAAAACTGAAATCTTTTTCAGCCACCACCCATTCCCTTATTTCAGTCAGTCCACTAGTGGTACCCACTCTACAGCTAAAGCCTGGAAGTAACACTTACTGATAGACATTTACAATTTAACAAAATATTAAGGCCAAATAGATTCTCCTTACTTTGAACATGCTTTATTTTTTAAGGTTGGCAAATGTCAGTATCAGTTTCACAGTTGCCACTTTTGTATGGATGGTATATGTATTGAACCTTACAGGGTATCTTATTTTCAAATCGTATTTTATTTCTCCAGGTCCGGTCTCATTAGGCAGACTGTACTTCTCCTCTCCACATCTTTCTTTAACATAAAAACACCTCCTCCACCTCAGCTCCAGTGACTCCAGCTTTCAGTCACCTCCCCCTCCATCCCTCTCCCTCTCCCCCTCCCTCTCCTGGTTTCTTTAACGGTCCTCCTCTCTGGTGGTCCTCCTCTTACGGAGTCAGCATCAGTCACTCTCCCACCTACAGCGCTGACTGCTCTCAGCCCGGCAGAGGAACATGTTGCTGCACAAACTGGTACGGTAAGAGTCCATGTCTACATGTTTTTTAGCTGCGGGTCTCCGTGCGTAAATCCGTGCGTAATTACGCCTTTAACTGCGTAATTAGTCCGTTTTTGTTATTCGTTACTTATGAAATGAGATTTTCCTAATATATTCTCTGCATTTTTCCTTGGACAACCTCTTTCCCTCCTCCCGCCTTCCTGCTGCTCAGCATTTGCAGAACAATCGTAGACTCTTGTCATTTCCAAGTGGCGAAGGATTCGTCAAACTGATTGTCATGCGGATGCGGGTGGTCCTGATTGACTTTGAACTCAGCACCGCACGAGTCCTGACAGGTTACCGACAAAATGCAGCCAGCAGAGACAGAAACACCTCCATGAGTCTGTGCTTTATTCAGGTGTCACCAGTTGTGGCTGTAATCCTTCACAAACCTTAGAAAATATAAATGACAGTGAACTTTGGATCAGAAAGTTTACAAGCAGCGACAGTTTGTTTTCTTTAATATTGAAAAAAAATTGAATTTAAAAAGCCAAAACAAAGCAAAGTAGAAAAGTTGCGTCCTTGCATAAGAGTAAAGAAAAAGTGCTGAACGTTTTTAGTCCAACAAGTGCCTGTTGTTTCTCTGCCCACTGTGTTAATGGAGAATAAACGCAGCAGTTACAGAAATGTCTGTGATGTCAGCTGTGTTGTTGTTGTTGTTGTTGTTGTCGTCTCAGTTTGTGTGGATCCTGTCAGTCCTGTGCGGCACTGATGTGTGTGTGGCATTCGTCTACGACCGGCCCAGACGCTCCGGAGAGGACAGGACGTCAGCCAGGACAGAGTGTGAGTACGCAATTCTTCTTACTGGGAAACAGAGAGCACGTCTCTGAACTGCTTGACCCTGAGCCGGCAAACACTCACAACTGAGACAGCCTTGAAAATGACACCAAAAGCCTCCCAGCTTCACCGTGACCTCTGACATTATTGTAAATAGTAAAAAAAAAAAAAAAAAAAGAGCAGAATCAGTAAAGTAAGAAACAGGTTATCAGTCTGTCAAATAAACCAAGGTGTCACAAAAACACCTAGGAGTTTGTTTTTTTCCTTTAGTCTGATATAATTTCAGCAAAAAGAGCATTTAACTCCTTTTACAGATCAATACAATATAACATGATGTGGTAAACAGTAATAATGTCACAGGTTCAGCTGTGTTCAGATGAGGAGTTCAACCAAACAGAGATCTTCCCTTCACAGACGAAGCAATCACTTCTTGAGCTGAAGGTGTTTGATTATCCAACATTTCACTTAAGAAAAGCAAAGATGCAAAAAAAGTCTAGAACTATTTTGTGAAGAAATTTAGTTTTTCCAGTTTCCAGCCCTGTTAATTATCTTGTGACCAATAGGAGGACTGCAACTAAAGACAATTTTCATTAGTGATTGATGTGCAGATTATTTTCATTGATCTATGAAATAAAAATAATAATAATAATGATAAGCTTCATTTATTTCAGTTTTCAAAACACAGTTACAAAGCGCTTGATAAGACAAGATAAAATTGAGGACGAACAATAAAGTAAATGTTAAATGTCCATACAGTCTAAAGGTAGATGTCCCTAGTTTGATTATAGATCAGGTCTAGGTTCTATATTAATACTGTGAAAGTATCAAAGCCTCAGTCCACAGAGAAATGCACACAGCCTGTATTCAGAAACTGAGCCTTAAAACCAGCCGTCAGGACTTCTGGAACTTTATGATGTCACAACTAAGCAGTCACCACTCTCAGTCACGCCCCAAGCCCCGCCCACCTGGACCCACGATCCAACCAGATTCTCAGTCCAGTATAACATGAGAGGCTACAGTAAAATTATTAATCCCTTATCAGAATGTTGCTAATTGATCTTCTGACGAATTGATAAATTGATTATTTATTCCAGCTCTATATTATAGAATAATTAACTTCATGTAATGTACTTTTGTTGTAGAGAAAACAGTGTGTCAGCATGACGCAGGAGTTTGAGACACTGAAGAGTATTCCAGTCCATGACACGATCAATCATTAAATCAATAACGAACAGAAAGTAATTTTGATTATCAATCCTTTAAGTAATTTATCAAGCAGACATGTGGTTCCAGTTTCCCTCCAGTGACGCTTTGCTGCTTATTGAACTGAACATCCTTGGGTTTAATTTGAAGACGTCACATGACCTGAAACTGATGGATTTTTTCAGTATTTTTTGACATTATTTGTACTACAGTATTAATTGAAAAAAAGCAATTCATTGATTATTAATTAATCTATAATGACAGTAATTGTTAGTCACAGTCCTACATCACTTCACTACAAGTATTGTGTGGCAATACAAATGTGTCTTCTTGGGGCGTTAAGCTTGTGAAAGCTTTTCACAGTTGTGTTCGAGACATTAAAAACACACGTGTTCAGTAAAGCAAACGCTCACCAAAAAAAATCACACACTTTAATTTAGTGGCCATATTGGCTCAGCGCAGGCAGTGTGAAGTGTGTTTTGGACCGACGTTAATGTGTCTTGGCCAAGTGTAGAATACGCTCCAACTAAAACACGCACACACACACACACACACACACACACACACACACACACAAAACCTTTTAGAGCAGGAGTAAATCTTGAACCCTGTGTGAGCTTCAGGTGCAATCAGACACACGGACATCAGACTGAGTGACATACTTCCACCCGCTCCTCTGAACAGAACCAGGTTTCCTCCACAGGAATTTTATTTGCCGGGTTGTTTTCTATATGAAGTGTCTGCCAGCGCATATGAAATGAGTGAGCGGAGGGGACGTGGACAATGGATCCCTGTGACCCTGCGAGGTTGTGCTTGGACGGCCCGCGTGTGTGTTTTTGAGGAGAGAGAGTGTGTTTGTGTTGCTCTACCTTGAGTCAATATTAAGAGAGCATTGGAGCTCATTTTCTGCCCCGGATCCTGAAACGTCGGCGCAAGACGGAGGAGGTTTTTGCCTCGTGTTGCAGTCGACTGTCTCTTGTATCGACTTCTGTGATAGACACTGAAAATGAATCATCTCATGAGTCTTCTCCATCTTCATGATGGTGGTGTCTGAACTTGTTTCTGGTTTCTTCAGAGCACTGAAACTTAAAAAATCACCATAAATCCAGAACAAGATTGCAAACATCTTCTCAAAAATAGTTTTTTCAGAATTCAATATTTACAACCAAAATACAAAATACTGCAATAATCTGAACCCATCAACAGTTTGACTTCATTTTTCATTCCAAAATAAAATAAATAATTTTTTGAAACACATTATACTCAGATCTCTTCCATTTTTATAACGTGTAGGTAATCCCAGCCCTGATCCAGGACTGTCACAGTCCTGGTTTTTGTCAGAACCTGGGCGTGTCACTCATCTCATGAATTTTGTTATTAGAAGGCAAGTAATCGAGACACCTTGTCATGTCACAGCAGTGACAGATTAAAAACAGTGGCAGAGTTCCATTTAGCTGCTTCATTTCCAGGGTCCTGGTCTTGTGCCTGCTGCCTCACTGTCATGGCTCACTGGCACACCTGAATGCTGCGCCGACCAGCTGGGCAGCATGAAGAAATTGAGGCGTAACACCTCACTTCCTTCATATAGAGTATATATGTTTGTGTATTTGCAAAAAAACACACACACGCACACACACATACTGTATACTGTAGCTGTGTCTCAACTCAGGCCCTGCATCCTTCAGAGGATGCGTTTGAAGACCGTCTGCGCCACAGCGGCATGATAAGTCCGTCCCGTTTCAAAAGCTCCTTCAAACGCAGCCGAGAAAGGCGTCCTTTGTTTCCCAGGCAATGAAGGTTCCAACAGGTGCATCCTTCGTGGCCTAACCTATCAGATTCATCATGCCAGTAATCAATCTCTTTGGCCTCCGTAATGTATGCAGTCTTTGGAGGCCACGCCTTCGTAGACTGTGCGGTCTGAAGACCGAATATATCGTGAAGGCTGAACCGAAATGAGACGGTCTGGTCGGAGGATTTCCTGTTTATCCTCAGCTGCTGCACACCGACACACCGATCTCCAGGATGTCCACAGTTAGGCCAGGAGGGTTCTCACACTGGGGGGTCGAGAGCCAAAATGGGCCCCTGTCCTTTGGATCATAAGCGGACAGAGCAATGTTGTGTTTCAGGGAACTTGAGTGTCCCCGTGGTGAGACAGAATTACTACAAGTAGATTTAAAGCTTAGTAACTACTGACTTTGGTTTACAGATGTTTTCTACAGGTTTTAGTTATTATCCAATGACCTTGTGAAGTCATAATTGCTGCCATTTGTACGTCTCTGTGCTGATGACAGTCAGAGCTGGAGGCACTGTGTTTTTAGGTTGTCCGTCCGTCCCATTCTCGTGAATGTAATATCTCAGTAACACCTTCAAATTTGGCATAAACATTAACTTGGACTCAATGATGAACTGATTAGATTTTGGTGGTCAAAGGTCAAATTCACTGTGACCTCACAAAACACTTTTAACCATTATTCAAGACTTCACAGCAATCATGACAAACTTTCACACAAATGCTTCATATTTTCTCTGACTCTGGATGAACAGGGATGTGACCTGAAACTAGTCTGAGTGGAGGAGGCAGACGACCACGAGGAGGTGATTCTAGTGAGAAAATCCTCTGCTCTGATTCATATTTTGTTTAACATGTTTTTTTTTCACACATAAAAAGTGAAACTAATCTCCTCTTACTTCCTCATTGATAAATCGGGATCGGGCCTTATGCCCCGCCCACCACCTGCTGGCTCCAGGTGGACAGGTGAAGGAGCAGAGAGTATCAAGATGGTTAGAGGAGGAAACATCAGAGAGACTCAGCCTCATGTTTGAGCCTCAGTCAGACCCAGACTCAGATGAGGAGTCTGAGACCAGAACCAGAGACTAGCATACGGATCAGAAAGGTTAGCGTAGTTATAACCTTTTATTTGTTTGTGTTGTTTGTTAGCTTGTAACTGGCAGTGGCTGACACAGTGTTAGTGGTTGTGCTAATGCTAACTCTCTCCCTCTGTACTGACGAGGTTTCAGGTTTATTTAGCCCCGCCCCCTGTCCTCACAGGTTGACAGGATTGGTTCCTGAGGTTTGTGACGTATGAAACCCTGAATCTGTTTTTATGAGACTGTCATTGGTTCACTGCAGTTCAAGGTGGAAACACTCACAGTCATGGTGCTGATGGTTATTTCACTCATCATATATCCTATCATTGGAGGGGGTATTTAAAGACACATTAACAGTGCAGCTTCTCACTTTTCTGTTGTCATATACAGTTACTTAAAAACTTTCTCTCTTGTTTTGTTATTAGACCAAGTGGCGAAATGCCAGCTCAGTTCACTGTTAATGTTTTAAAATGAGAAGTAGAATCGGCACACCACCCTTTACTTTCTCTGTTGTCCATTCAACCCCAAACTGCGTTTGTAACATTGTGTTTTTGAGTCTGTGCCAAAGGCCGTGGTTCACAAAACACCCATGAGTTCTTGAAGCTGACTACAACTGCAACTAGTCAGTGTTTTTATGTAGGCTGCAGACATGCTATTCATCATAGCATGTCAGAGAACAGGCTCCAGGTTCAGCACCATTTGTACCATAAACCAAACAGAACGTGAGGATGAAACCTGTGAAACACGATCACAGTGTTTACAACAGGTTGTGTTTGGATCATTTATGACAGATCCAGGGTCAGTTTGACTCAGATTGAATGATGAATGATAAATAACCTAGCTGCTTCCAACCTCCGTCATTCCACTCTTAAAGAGAAAATGACATGTCAGGAGTATTTAGAGTTATTGATGATATGTCAAGCAAAGGCAGGCGGCTGTAAATGACCGGAGGGTCAGCTGGTTGCTTCAAGTCACATTTGACTGGTACATTTATCATCAAATGTATTTTAACAGCACAGGAACAGGAAACCAAGATTCTTATACTTAAATATTTCTGACATGTAATTAACCAAGAGAGATTAAAACCTTCATCAACACTGTGGTCAAAACGTCTTTTTCTCTTATGAAGGTTCAAACTGAGTGAAATGAGCTGAAGTTTCTGAGCAGCATCATGATCACAGCTGCTCCACTTCTCTACATGATGAGGGAAGGAGCTTCAGTGCTTCCTATCTTATCTCCTTTAGCCTAGGAAACACTGGACCTTCCTTTATGAAAGGGAAGGAGAAAATGCCTTCCCACAATTCATTGCTGCAGCAACATTTAAAGTGATGCACCGTTGTAGTTTGACCACAGCAGAGACACATTAATGTAGAAACATCAGGGCAGCTGTTTTATGTTTGTGACATGATCCAGAACTGATGGAAATCTCTGTCTGACTGACTGAAGCCCAGATCCATAATCTCTTTAAATCTCTTTAAATCCAGGTGGGAGTCATCATGAAGAACAAGCATATTGAGTTTATCATTATCATAACAATCTTTACCTTAATGTCATTTCAAAACCGCTCACTGCACTAAAAAAAAAATTTTCTCTACTTAACAACTGTATAAAAAAGTCAAAACTCTACTTATATCTGAATATAATTTATTTTGGCCCATACTCAGCTGCTTATTTTTACTGAATTATTATTTTTAATACATTTTTTTAAAAACTCCTTCTGTTTGATTATTTCTTTCATGTTATCATATTTCAACAATATTTCAGTATCCTTTTTGGTTTTTTTTTGAGATTAGGAAAGGAGTTTTTATCGTCCATGTGTTATGAATAAAGTTGGTTTGAAAAACAACATCCTAGACTAAGTGCAGTCGCATTCTTTTCCTATGTCTTCTTCTTTCCTTGACCTCATGACATTTTCCGTCGAGGTCGTGGAGAAGCGGTTAGGAATGGAGATTATTTTGTCTCTTTGACCGCACCCTGTGTCTGACTCACATGTTCATAAACACTGAAAAATAATTCTTGTGTTGTAACAGAAAGAGTCCTTTATTGAGATCATGTCCCTTCACAGTCCTCTGCTCACAGAAAGAAAAAAACAACCTGTTTCTGATTTGGAAGCAGACAGTCAATGAGCAGTTTACAGACACTGAGACTGACGTATTTGCGCTGAGTGTTCAGATGTGTTTCAGCAGCTTCAACCTGATTTAAAAGAGAAAAAAAAAACAACAAAAAAAAAACAATCTGAATCTCTTCTTCTTTGGTCCTCAGCTCGCTCTGCGTCTCCGTACGTGCCGACCTCCGGCTCCTGCAGGAACAGGTGTTTTGAGCTGGTTGAGTTGGAGCCTCCAAACTGTCGCTGCGACAACCTGTGTAAGACGTACAACAGCTGCTGCTCGGACTTTGACCAGCTCTGCCTCAGGACAGGTACTCTGTCATCATCATCCTCACTGTCCTCTGATCTGTCTTCTCCTCCTATGTAGCTTTTCCCTCCTCTGTCTTCATATCAGGACTTCAGACAGTAAACCTTTTCTGTGTTAACATGTGTTGTTATTTTCAGTGGTATTTACATAATTAAAAAGATAAAATTATTATAATGTTAAGTCACTCGTACAAATTCATTTTAGATATGTTCCTAAAGTAGAGACAAACACAAGTGCATATTTTACCAGAGTGTTCTGTATCAGAGGAGAGGGACATTAGGTCCAAGAGGCCAAATAAATATGTTTTTATACTGTGTGATTTTGCTATTTTTATGTAATTAAAGAGTCTGAATACTCCTCTAACCACTGTCTGAGGATGAACTTGATCAATGTCGGTCTTAGTGTAATTGTTTTTTGCAGTATGTTGCCATGCTACAGCAACTTAGCCAGAAACCATTTATTCTGGATCTAAATGTTTATTTCTGTTCTGTCTTTGCTTGATTTCTTAAACTCTGGTGAATCAACATTATTGTTCGCATTAGGAAAACATTCTTGTAAAGCCTTTGATCAATATCTAGATATGATTTTTAAGCCTGTTTGTGCAGCTGTGCAGTTCAGTTGTAGGAGCTGGAAATGAGCTGTTGCCTTGATGTGCATGCACCTCTTTCACGCTTTGAACTTGGCTTCCTTCTTTGTTCTTGCCTCACACAGAGGGGGGCTATGAGTGCAGTAAGGATCGGTGTGGGGAGACGCGAAATGAACATCACGCCTGCCACTGCTCTGACGACTGTCTGACCAGAGGAGACTGTTGCACCAACTACAAGACACTGTGTAAAGGTTTGCCACATTACTGTAATATGCCTATTATATTATAAGTATTTCAATACATAAAATGACATGCAAATGCTTAAGAGATCAGAGGTTTTCAGGACACATGTCACATCCTGCACCTTGCCTCGATGAACAAGCCAGCAAGTAACAAGATTTAGGGCTCATTTTTTACACCTGGTGCAAAGCACAACGCAAGTGTCTTTGCTAGTTTCAGGCTGACGCTGTTGTCATTTTCCTGTCCAGTGCCCATGTCCTTTAAATATACTTGCACCAATCTGTGCGCCCATGGCCGTGTTGGTCATAAAAATGGGGTGTGGTCAGGAGCGTTGTTGGCACGTTGCTATCTTTGCCAGAGACAGTGGAAAGTGATTGCCCGACAATCCATTTCCACGTCTTTCCACGTATCTGTGTAATCTGGTTTGCACCAACATATAATATGTCTTAACTGGGAAGCGGTTTCGGGAGGCCCATACCCCTCTATCTTTTGGTAGCTGGAGAGATTGACACCTAACTCTAGGCTTTTTGCCTCCCCATATGATCCTTGATATTATCTTGTTGCAGGTCACAAATTGGGTTTGGGGGACCTCTATAGGTAGGGACTGGAATAAATAAAGAAGCCTTGGTTGCACATAAATTTGAATGGTCTCAGTTCTTGAGTTAAAATGTAGCAGTGAAGCACACCATCTTTCTATGTCCTTTTGTATCTCTTGAATTATCCTGTTATAATTTGCTTTGTAGAGAGCACATAGTGTGGTGATAGACAGCATCCTTGCCTAGTTGACCTCTGTAATCTAAATTTGTCTGTCAGGATTCCATTCATTTTAATTCTCGCAGTAGGCTGTTGGTGTAATGTCTTCATGCATTGTATTGATTTACTACTAAATCCGATGCGTTCTAACACTTTATATAGGAATTCTCAATTTACCCGATCAAATGCCTTTTTCAGCATCAATACTTACTAATATAGTACTTTGTTTTTTTGATGAGCTTGATCTACAATATGTAAGGTTCTTCTAATATTATTGTGTTTTTGATGTCCTCTAATAAATCCTCTTTGATCTTCCTCTATCAAAAGTGTTCAATCGTTTGGAAATAATTGCTGTATATACTTTATAATCTAGATTTAGTAATGATATTGGTCTATAGTTCCCACAGTATTCCTTATCTCTTCCCCGTTTTGGAATGACTGAAATTATGGCTTCAGTCCATGATGGACGCTGTTAGCGTCTCGTGTTGTAGTTAATGGCAGATTGATGACAAATCCAGTGAATTTAAAAATGCTCTCATTTCCTCTTTGTCTGCAGATGCAGGTTGTGTATACAATTCCTCGTAGTAATGCTGAATGATTTTCTCTAGTATTTCTCCTTGATCTTCCCTCGAGATTGGTTATTTTTTTCTTGCATCTGACGTGTCTGCTCCAACATCACCGCCAGCATATCATTCCCCCTTCGTCTTCCACTCTTCGGCCTCTGCTATGCGAACCTGAGCCTCACCGATATGTAGCTCGATGTTGTTTTGTGTGACCTTACGGTCCAATTCTTGTCGGAGATGAGTGATTTCTTCCTTCCTCTCTCTCTTCAGCTCATCTTTAAATGTGGTTAACTCATGTCGTCGCTCGTGTTTGAGGTCTTTCATATCTTCGTGTCCCAACTCACACTGTTGAGTGTTCCTTGTGTTTGCTAGCCTTGTGTTCAGAGATTTCCTCCATGACGGTTTATTTTTCCAACTTTGTCTTGCTTGTTGTTGTTTCTCCTGCTTCTTCATGTATTTGTCCCACTTGTGCCCAACTTTTATCGAGTGACACCTGTTTTGTGGGTTTATTTTACCCGACTTGGGAGAGCAAGTTAACTGTGGTCCTACTCTCTCCGCCATCTTCCCAGAAGTCTCCCAGACAGCGATGCTTAAGTCAGTTGTCAGGGCAACTGCAGGGGATAACCAAAGTCAGTAGGATTAATCCTCTGGGAACCATGAATGTCTGTAGAAAATGTAACGACAAGCCGTCCAGAAGTAGTTGAGGTTTTTTAGCCCTGACTGATGTGGTGGACTGACTGTCTGACAAACCAACATGTCCATCCTTAGAGCCGTGCTCTTAACACACCTTTCAATATTAACATCTCCCTCTGAATGCTTTCTTTCAGGAGACAGTTCGTGGCTGCAGGATGAGTGTGAGGAGATCAAGACCCCTGAATGTCCAGCTGGGTATGTTTACATCTGCGCAGTAACGCAGGTTACAGTGATAACCATAAGATAAATTTAGTCCTTTGTCCCCAAATCAAAACCTGAGTTGTGGATGTTCCTTTATTTCTCAAAGTGTAGCTTGCCTCCTCTCTTAGACCTTTTTTATATTTCCCTCATATATGAGCGATTTCCTGAGGATTGAACTGGGTTTTGTTTTCCTCATCTGACTTTGTATGTGTGTGTGTGTGTGTGTGCAGGTTCGTGCGTCCACCACTCATCATTCTGTCGGTGGACGGATTCAGAGCTTCTTACGTGAAGAGAGGAAACACTGTCATACCCAACATCAACAAACTCAGTAAGACCACGATGTGGATTTTGAGATTTATTATCATGTGGAGCAATCACAATGTAGTGTCATTAGTGGGGGACTGTGCTGAGTTTTGTTCTGTTGTGTCCTTGTTTTCAGGAACATGTGGAACCCATGCTCCGTACATGAGACCTGTTTATCCCTCCAAAACTTTCCCCAACCTCTACTCATTGGCTACGGTGAGGCAGGACTCACTGCTGCCATGCTGACACGTGCGCTTTAAACTCAGACGTACTGCTCTGGCTTAAACTTAGTGTTAGCATGCTATGTTAACAGTTGTGTTAAGCTCAAATGCAAATTTCATTACAGACGCTTTTGTCACTGGGCTGCGTGAAGTTGCAGTTTGCACGATATGAAGTGAAGGTGGTTTGGCTCGGGCAATCTCCAAAAGTTAGCATGCTAACATTAGCTATAGGCTCAAAGTACAGCTGAGTTGAGGCTGATTGAATACAACTATGGCTGATGAAGCCAAGTCTGATGGTGTTAAGTTGAGCGTCAAATGGTGGACCAGAAATTTAGATTTTTCACTTTCTTATGTACTGAACTTGTTTTGTATGTAAAATGACACACTCATATGTAGTATGATAGTTAAATGTGTTGGTACAGTGCAGAGAAAAGAGGATAAATACTGATCGTCAGTCTTTCATTCTCAGGGTCTGTATCCAGAGTCTCATGGTATTGTTGGAAACTCCATGTACGACCCGGTGTTTGATGCAACCTTCACCCTGAGGAGCCGAGAGAAGCTCAACCACCGCTGGTGGGGAGGACAACCGGTCAGTCCTCACTCTTCTTCTCTTCTCTTCTCTTCTCTTCTCTCTTTTTCTTTTCTTCCTCTCTTCTCTTCTTCTCTTCTCTGCTCTCTACTTCTCTTCTTCTACTCTCTTCCCTTTTTCTTCTCTTCTCTCCTTTCTTCTTCTTTTTCTCTTCTCCTTGGTAGTCTAGACTACCTTCATGATGGATTTATAAATGTTTGGTTGTTAACACTTTATAAATCATAAATGAACAATTATAGACAGGTTATAAAACATTTTTCATACTTTGATGTAGGCTCACTATTTGGCAAATTAATGCTTACTACTCATTAATCTGACTAATGACTTACTAATGTTTATAACTGGTAAAAGGAGCCTTATAGTAAAGTGTAAAACACATAATCAATTATTAATGAGTTACTATTGTTTATAACTGGTAACTCATTGATAAATGGTGTGTGTGTTTTGTACATTACAATATATTTAACATATGTCATATCAACTCCTGCGGTTAGAATGAGGACGGCTGCTGAGAGCGTGTCAAGGTGAACAACACTGCCAAAGCCTCAGAGGATGAATCTGCTCATTTTGTATGATAATTTGATATTCCATAATTTGATCTGGCAAATGAAACTTTTTGACCATTAAGATGCTGACGGTGGTTCATTGATAGTAACTGAACAAATGTGTGATGAAGCAGCAGCTACAAACGCTGGATGATGGAGAAAACAAAGAAAGATCATGAGGCTGAACTGTACAGATACATGTGGGCTCACTATTTGGCAAGTCACTGGTGTGCTTTTTATCTACTGTGTTATAACAGCTTATAAATGATTATTGAAGTGTTAACAAGCTAATTGATAAACTAGTTATAAACAGGCATAAATCTTTATAAGGGTAGTCTTATTGTGAAGTGGTACCCTCTTCTCTTTTTCTTCTCTCCTCTCTTCCTCTCTTGTTTCTCTTATCCTCTTTCCTTCTTTTCTCTCCTCTCTCCTCTTCTTTTCTTTTCTTCTCTTCTCCTCTCTTTTCTTCTCTTCTCTCTCTCACCATCTGTGCTTCATCAACACTGTGACATTAATCTGTCAGGTCCCGGATCAGAGATCAGTTCTTTTCCTTTGAAGCCAGTTACAATGAGACCAGCAGGACCCAGATCTAACAAACCCAGTCTGATAGGCTTTATCATCTATTGATAAATGACAGATGGTGATATGTGATTAATAAAAACTGTGTTAGGATCACTCTCTGACAGGACTACAGCTCTGACGTTAAGAGTCCTGGAATGCTTTATTGTGGATTCACTCAAAGACCAAACCTGTGCTCGGATTCCAGTGTTTCCCACAGAATTAGGCTCCAGCTGACAGGATTTATTAAACTGATTATTACATAATCTCATATATAAGATCATATATAATTAGAAGAAGAAGAAAAAGAAAAAAGAAATAAAAGCATAGACAGCATTTATATAACGCTTTTCTCATCTTATCGACAACTTAAAGCACTTTACATTAACAAGTCACATTCACCCATTCACTCACACACTCACACCAATGATGCCATGGCTGCCGTGCAAGGAGCTTGCTTGTCACAGACAGGAGGATCAGGGGATCGCACCAACAACCCGCTCTACCAACTGTTCCACAGCCGGTGCAGATGTTGCTCAAACACTAGATTCCATTGTCTGAACAAAATCCTCAGTGGCCTGAACCCATTCATTGAATCAGTCACTCTTTTGCTAAAACCATAAACTATTTTTACGACACAGAGGATTAGACCTGGGGTTTTGTCCTGCTTCCCTCAATGCCATTCCATTAACAAGGACATGGTCTATTACAGTTGCTCAAATTTAATCTGAAATTGCTGTTCTTGGTCTTAGTCTTGATCATGCTCTTCCTCATCCTCTTCCTCCTCATCCTCCTCTACTTCTCAGATTATTTTCCTCCGTTGTTTCTTTCAAACTTCAACCTTCAACAACCTGTGCACTCTGAACTGGTTTATACTGTTTTCATCACATCATTAGCAACAAGTGTGAGCAGTTTTGAGTTGTCGTGTGAAAACTATGACACCTGTGCTGAAATCATGTCTAACTTCTGCTACCTGTGGTTATCATTATGCATCATGAGTGCTTCACAGAGCACAGTGTGTTTTAGTGAGGGAAAATGTGTTTGGAGTTTTGCAAAAAGGTGAAATGAGATCTGAAACTGTTTAATTCTATAAATGGGTTCAGGCCACTGAGGATTTGGTTCAGACAATGGAATTTAGTGTTTGAGCAAATCAGAAAAACTGTAATGTTATCCACCTGCTAATAGACTAATAACCGGAGTGAACTTGAATGCATCACTTTTGGACAAATTTGCAGAGGTGATCGTGATGCTAGACGTTTATGAACTTCAGGTTGATTCTGTGCAGGAACTGGGCCAACCATCAACAACAGTCCGTCCTCCTGTACATGATGCATGTTTTTATTCAGAGTGTGTATGGGGAGAGCGAGAGACAGAGAGAGAGAGAGAGAGAGAGAGAGAGAGAGACAGAGAGAGAGAGAAATTAAAATCTAAATCTGTATCAATATTTGACACGTTTGATAATAATTGTATTGTATGTATATATAAACTGCTTTGGCAATAACATGTTTTTGTTCATGCCAATAAAACTATTTGAATTTTGAGAGAGAGGGAGAGGGGCTCGCATTTTACAATGAAATAAGAGTTTACCCATTTGAAATGGTAAAAGAAGCTGAAAATCTATATGTGGCGGTCAGTACTGATTTCATGGCAGGCCGCCACAAGTTAATGAGTGTGTGGGAAACACTGGATTTAATTTGCTTTTTGCCAAATAGAATAATGACTCAGGAAGTAATAAACAATAATTTTAATTGTAATAATATAATAATTAACATGACTTTACCTATATCTTTTAAAATCCTGTATGAACACTAAACTTGATGGTTTAGTGTCACCTGGAGCAACAGCACTTGGTCTCTTCCCACGCAACAAATACAGTGGGATCCTCTGTCCTTCTCATCATACTGTAGTTTACTACACACCATTACCTTGGTTTCCATGGTAACACTCCAATAGTATCCTAATGAACTATGTCAGACTGATAAAACAATGAGACTTTATTGTGACTTTTTGTTTCATAGATCTGGATCACAGCGCTCAAACAGGGAGTGAAGGGTGCCACCTTCTTCTGGCCTGTGTAAGTCTACACACACACGCACACGCACACACACACACACACACACACACACACACACACACAAAGAAAAATTTCAGACCTCTTTCTGTCCATCCATGCTCCCTCTTCCCTGATCACCCACATGCAATTTCTAGCTCTGCCTCTCTCTTCCTCGCTCTGCCTCTCTCTCTCTTTGTTGATGGGTTAAATGACATTTAAAACCTAAATCAGTTTAACTCATTCAGAGAGATGCCCGTGTCTCTGTGTCAGCCTGGATGAGATGTTGATAGAAGATAGATGCAACTCTCATGTTATCAATGTGAACTGTTTAAAATAATATATTCTATTATGAATGTCACCTCAACCTGCAAAATTTATTGTGATGAACAGCAGTAAAGGTGAAAGTCACTGCGTCCATGGAGCTAATATGGATATGGACAAACTCAATGTAAAGCTAACAATGCATCTGCAGTACAGTGTGTTTCATCTGGTCTGATCCATTCAAGAACAGCTGACTTTGGCACTTTTGTATCTGAGGTTCATCAATTAAGTAAAACATCTGTAAACTCATAAATAAACCAGACAAGACTTTGGCAGCAAGGTGACCTGAAACCAATGATGATAGAGAGATGTATTATAACTAATGTTAGACATGATCCGTGTGTGTGTGTGTGTGTGTGTGTGTGTGTGTGTGTGTGTGTGTGAGTGTGTGATCCCTGGGCCACTTTTCCTCCTGGGGCTCCTGCTGGTTGCCTGGTTTGTCTCTCCTCGGCTGACATGGTTCTGACTGAAATAAAGAGTAAACTCTCCAGAGTGTAAATATGTATTCTTGCAGATGCATTGACTACGTAATAATTCAGAGACCGTAAATGATTTGGTGCCCTGTCATGTTCCTGGTGCTCACCTACGTATATGCTGCAGAACACAAAGCAACCCACGCTGATCAACACAGAAGAGGCTTTGATGGAGTGCGGGGGGGTAGATCTCAGCGGGGGCGGTGCAGAGCTGTTTTTACAGCAATTTGTGCAAATGAGCCTGTTTAAAGTACGCAGGATTCCTCAGTGAGCGGGGGTCACAGACGTGCCACTCCACAGACCCCTGGGGGCCGGAGTGTAGTTTACAGTGCTGTTCTTGCGCTTGGCACTGACAGAGGTGTGGGAGGAATAAAGAGAAAATGAAGAAGAGAGTGTGTGTGTGACAGAGAGAGTGGTGTTTGGCTGAAAAAACCTTCTTATACAACATCACACAGTTTAGTGTTACAGCTCCACAGTGGGGACTGGGATGGTAATGGAGATTAGGGATTGATGGAGGGGTGCAGGGTCTGTGTTGAGAGAGAACAGTGTGACCACACCTCCTTGTTCCTCCATGCCACCCCCCACCGCCTCATACATGAAGCCCTGTTCAGGGCCTCGGTGCTGGGCTTGATGGTTGGCAGCTGTGGACTGTATGACGGCCAGCAGCGTGGTTGGTGGCCTCATCTTCACACAGGCAGCCTTTGACGTTCAGACACTTTAAACAGTGAGGAGGCTTCACATGTGTTTCACTCCACAACCCTCAACTTTATGAGGCTCTTACAGAGTTAAAGGAACAGTCTGGAGTTTAATGGTTTATTGGTTGAGGAGGGCCGGGGACCAGAGTCAGTCTGTGTTGTATGATGGGTTGTTTGTTTGTTTTTCAGTGCCATCCCATTAGAGAGGAGGATACTGACCATGCTGCAGTGGCTCCACCTCCCTGAAGGAGAGAGGTGAGTTCAGCTTTACATTTTTTTTTTTGCTTCACACTTCACACAGTAAACATTGTTGTTTACTATTTGTTCGTTAGTGGTTTCAATTGGAACAATTTTAAAATTGTAATTTTAAATTTGTAAAAAGGGATAAATCACAACCAAGTTAAATTTGACCCTGAACAAAAACCCCGCTCAAAGCAACAAAAAGTGGATCAACAAGAAGAAGACATTTAACCCAGAACTGCTTCTTTTCTGAAGCAATTCATCTGCCTCCGTCTTCAATTACCATTTCTCAATACGTATAAACTTGCTTTGGTGCTTCACTTTTTTTCTGTTTTCTGGATGGGAAACAGCCACAGGGAAAGAGCAAGAGAAACAAAATGGAAGGTTATATATGTGACCCAGATTCTCTGATTCTCCACCCTACATATTCCATGTGTACAGGCGGATGTAGATGCTCTTTAAGACACATCAACTGTGGTGGCCATGCACTTATTAGCAACACACGGTTACACATGGTGGCCTTTTTGGTTAACCTTTTTAACTATTGGAACAGAGTGGCTTATTGCTGGAGAGATAGTCTCTCCACTCAGAGAACCTGGGTTACGTATGCAACCTACATCGTGTCAAGACCATCTCTCCACCCTACATATTCCATATGTACAGGAAATCTGTAAGACACACAGCGAGGAAGCCAAGCAGACTTCACTGCTCCTGTGGGAGCCTGAGACAGTTGAGTTCGAATGGGTTGTCACCACCAACAGAGTGCTCACCAGCATGCTCTGATAAAAGAACTATTTACAAATATAAAATATGTACACACTAGGGCTGGGGTGATGCATCGACGTAATCGACGTAGTTAATTCTGTAAATATGTTGATTCACATAACGTGCGTTGATGTGTGTTGCAAGGAGGAAGTAAGATGACTTACTTTTTTTCTGGCACATTGCTGCTTTCTGTCTGTGTGTTTATTGATCGATTCTGATCTGCATTCTTTGCCAGTGACATTTAGCGTCAGGTGACTGATGCTAAGGCCAGCTGTAAATGGGCGGAAGGCCACCCAGCCTGCCAGGTTGCAAGCTATCTTAGAAAGAAAGACGACATCACCCCAAGTCAAAGACCTTCATTGTAAGAGCCTTGGTCCCAGGGGTATGGATTGTCAAGCCTTGTCCTGCTGCGCTGCACCCAGCGCATGCTCAGCAAATGGAGTACTGGCTGCCATGTTCATGCAATAGAAACTGATAAATGTGGATGGGGTTGACCAAGAGGCTGCCGCACAAATCTCAGATAGAGGAGCATCTTGCCATAATACTCATGAGGTTGCAAGGCCCTGTGTTCCAAGGCAGTTATGTTTGTAGCAGACAAAGAACTGGTCTGTTGTCCTGTGGGCACATGGCCGGCGAAGATACAATGTCAAGGCCCTGAGAGGGCACAACAGTGATGTCTCACTCACCACCACATCACCATCTTGAGGAGGGTGGAAAGGGTGCAGCTCATTAAGACAGGCCGGTGTGGGATTCAGACCAGGTCTTAGTGTGAAGCTCTCTTATTCTCTTTGCCGACGTAACCACCAACAAGAATGCCGACCTGAGTGAAAACTTTCAGCCCAACAACACCAACTCCAAATCCCATGGGGGGACAGCTGGCCTTCTTTGGTAGGAAGAAATCCTACGGGCAACTTTGAGAAACTGAGCAATAAGTTCACAGCAACCCTATGACAGTTTCCAAGGACCAATACGAGCTAACTTTATGGCTGCCACCATTCCCCTCATAATCAAGGGAAACTTGCCCAACTCCAACATTTCTTGGAGGAACTGGAGACTGTCATGGGCTGTGCAGGAGAGGGGGTCCACTTACCCACACCCACACTACCATTGAAACACTCCCCACTGGGAGGAATATGCTACCCTTGTTGATGGAGCCTGGGCTCCCTGCAGAGTGCTAACCATAGACTGGGGCAATCCCATGTCTAGAAACTCGGTCCTCTCAGGAGCCAGGCCCAAAGCCTGAGCCCCTGGGGAAAGGGATGAAAAATAGCCCAGTGAGCCTGAGACAGGACATTCCCACTGAACAGGGAACTCCCAAGGCAGTCCTCAAAGGAGGAGTGCTATTGCTGAAAATCAGATCATCTGGGGCCAATTGGGGGACACCAGAATGAGGCTCACCTCCTCCATGTAAACTCTCTAGTGGAGGACTGGGTGCAGGAGGATGAAGGGAGGGAAGGCATACAGGAGGCCTTGTAGCCACTGATGTACTATTGCATCCGTGCCCAAGGGAGGATTGTCTCTCCCTACGGAGAAGAAGAAGGGACAGTGAGCCGTTTTCCTGGAGGCAAAGAGATCAGCTATATCTGTTTACATAGTCTGCTGCCACTGTACTGTTGGTACTTACCAGCACGTGGCGATCCCTCAGCTCTGGCTAGAAGTGCAGAAGAGTAAGATAGTTCCAGAAGATTGATGTGCTGTGTTAACCCGGAACCGTGCCACCGGCCACTGATCCCTCTGCCCTCGTGGACGGCTCCCCAGTCTACCAGGGAGGCATCAGATGAAACCACTTGGCAACGCAACACTGGCCCTAGTGCATTGCCCCGTGCTGCAAGTTGGCTGGCTGCTCTCACCAATGGAGAGCTACAAGGAGTCTGCGTGTAACCAGCACTGTGGGTGGCAGATCCATCTGTGGGCAAAGTCCAAGGCACAGGAGGCAGCACTACCCCAGGCGCATGTTCAGGAGAGCTAGGGGCACAATGGGGGCCGTGAACCATCTACCCCAGGAGGCAGAGGCATAACCTCCAGGTTACCCTGGTTCCCGAATGGAAATGGGACAAGCAAGCCCTGAGGGTGGCCTGTCTTCCAGGTGTTAGAGAAAGAGTTCCTGCCTTGGCACATGCCTAGGAATTCTGTAGTCTGTGAGGGATGGAGCCTGCTCTTCCACACATTGAGGCACAGTCTCAGGTGCTCTAAGTGCTGCAGGAGCTGGGCCACATTGTTGTGTCTGAGCGAACATACACCACCCAGTTGTCCAGGTAATTGAGGATGCGAAGACCTTGGTCCCAGGATTGCATCCATGCACCTTGTGAATGTGCAGGGGGCTAATGATATCCTGAATAGGACAACACAGAACTTGAAGGCTCTGCCATCAAAGGCAAACCTAAGGTAGTGTCTGCGTCCCTCCCATATTGGGATCTGAAAATATGCATCCTCCAGGTCGATCGTGGCATACCTTGGGGGATAGCCTGTCAAACCCTCGGCACAGTCAATGTCTTGCATTGTTGGGGTCTCAAAAACTTGTTGAGCCCTCTCAAATCCCAAATTGGCCTCAGCCTCCCATGTTCTTTGGGAATAAGAAAATAATGGGAATAGAACCCAGCCCACTGATTTTCCTGTTCACCTCTCTGATGGCTTTCTTTGCCAAGAGAGAGAGATGCAGAAACTGCAAACTATAACCTTGAGTCATGATGGAAACTACCCAGGGGTCCAACCCAAGTGTCTCCCAGGACAGGTGTTGTCCAGCTGTCCCTGGATTGCCATAGCTGCTTGCACTCTGGCAAGCATTGCATCATTTTAGCGTTCCTGCTTGGGCAGCTCGGCTTCCCCAAGACAGACTTGGTGGGGGACACCAAGGTCCCTAAGGCCTGATCCATGGGAGGTGGTGGTCCACAGCCAATCTTCTCCAGACCATGCACACATGTTAGTCGTTGGCATAGACCTGACCAGCGACGGACTTCAGATGTTTTATAAACTGCTTCAGTACCAGTTCCTCTAAATCGGGAAGCAGCTGTACAGAAAAACAGCATGACTGTCTCACCTCATCACCAAAACGGGAGGCTGCCTGGCCTGGCTCAGCTGGCATTTCAATTTCCAATGTTTGAGCAGCCCAAGTAATGAGTTGGTAATAGATGGGAGGTCGTTGCCCTTGCTCCTCCTCTACCTGCCTCGCCTCCATACACACCTGACCAGGGGGAAGGTCTTCGACCTCCGACTCAAATCCCTGGATGTCGTTCTCCCCTTCATCTGATGCATTCGATATGGGACACACTAGATTAAGCTCCTCCTGCCTCATCTGGGCAGAGGAGGGCTGCTGTGCAGTAAATGGTACTGCCACAGGCTGCACACCTGGTATTGACCGATTGAGGCTCCACCCCCAATTGGTCATTCAAAACCACCACTCTCGGCTGCTTCACCTGCTGCAGCTGGCTGGACGCTTGTGAGAGAATGCTAGAGCCCCAGCCTCCTGGCTGGCCATGTGTGCATGGTCCATAAGCAATGGACACATTGATTGCGACCATCCTCCATAGGTATTTTTTATCCCACAGCCCAAACAGGCCTGGGCTACCAGGTTTTCCATTTTGCTTTTTTTTAAACAACCGATATGTTTGAATGTATGTGAATGCAACTCAAGATTAGCTGGAAAATGTGTTCCACCACTAGCACTATTCACCCCTAATACATCCAGCACTCTGACACAAAGCCTCAAAGTGGAACTTGGAGGTGTGCCGATCACCCGGCTTTTCCCTTGTTTACTTCCTGAAATCACACATGGCTAAAGTATGTTCACTCGCGTCGTATTCCACAAGGAACAATGGCTGTGAACGTTGTCGCCAACACACACAAGCCACACTTCAGCCATGGTGTAAAAGCGAACGGCTGAAAAACGGGCCTGCTGCCTACATCGGACTTCACGGACTTCACATTGGACAAGCAGCAAACCGGAAAAAACACGGTGCCACAAGCTTTCACCAGCCTGTTTGTAAGACAATGCAGCAATCCAGAGAGGGGGCCATAGACCAGCTCTCCTACTTACAAGGTTAGTGGACCACGCTGTTGTCAAACATAAATGCTACATTCACTACTCAAATGTCAAGATACACACGTCTTGGAAATCAAGGAATGAAAGAGGCCACGCATCCATGGTGCTTATATAACCACGTGTTACCAATCAGTACATGGCCACCACAGGTGATGTGTCAGGTGTAGCCATGTCAGCTGTCCCCGTGGGGGTCAGTCCGTGTACATATGGAAAATGTAGGGTGGAGAGATACGCCAGAGCCAATTTCACGCCGGTGGCTTAAAACCATTAGCCTACATTTATTACTGCATTATTAGTTATTACTACATCTACAACTGTAACAAACACATCTCCAGTCTGACACGTGTCATGTGTCTTGTTTCAGGCCATATGTTTATGCCATGCACTCTGAGCAACCAGACACATATGGACACAAAATGGGGCCCATGAGCATAGAAGTGAGTACAGTGTGTCTGCTGTGTGCGTGTCTACTGTGTGTCTGTTTATCTGCTTTGTGTTAGTCTGATGCTGAATTTAGAAATAAAGCCATGTGTGTGCGTGTGTTATGTATCATCTGGACTGTGACTCCCTCTGTGGTTTCCAGCTGAACAACCCTCTGAGGGTCATCGACAGAATCGTAGGTCAGCTGATGGACGGACTGAAGCAGATGAAGTTGCACCGCTGTGTCAACATCATCCTGGTGGGAGATCACGGTACAGACTCACACAACAGCACAGACAAAGCAGCTCCAGTGAAACAAGCTAAACAGAAGAGCTTTGGTACCTAGGTAATCCTCCTGTGTGTTCTCAGGTATGGAGGAGGCTCACTGCGACCGCACAGAGTTCCTCAGCAACTACATCACCAATGTTGATGACATCATCCTCATCCCGGGATCCCTGGGCAGAATACGTTCCAGATACCCCAACAACGCCAAATGTGAGGAAAAACGTTTATAATATTTAAATTTTTATTGAGGGGTGACACCCTGTTTTACATATACACCAATTTGTGTGTGTTTTTGTTTTGCTTGCATTTTTGTTTGTTTTTGGTTTTGTTTCCCTCGTTACTTTTCATGAACCTTCACCTGAAATTATTTAGGATTTCTCTTATTCCTGTAGAAATCTTCAGTTTTCTCTGCGTCGGGTCTGTTAGAGCCTCATCAGCAAACATGAAAACAGTAAACTGTAGCCAAGAACAAAAAGCTTCTGAGTGCACAGTGCTTACAGTGGCTGCCAGAGGTGCTGACTCAAGTTTGCGTATTGGACTTGAGTCGCACTTAAATTGCACACACAGTGACTTGAGACTTGAGACTTGGCACTCATGAACAATCTTTACTTTCTATTTTTAGTGCATTGACATGATAGTGTCTGGCATGCTGAATTTGCACGTCATTTCCTCTGAGGGCGAGAGAAGGAAGGAGCAAGAGAGATTGATAGAGCTGTGTGGTGATCAGCCCAGTGGAGCAGACTGTGTGGCACACTGTGTGTCTGTCAACTCCCTCACGTCTGTCCGTCTTCCCAGCACACTATGTTTGGTTCAGTCCCATGGCTCCGTCCACACGCTGTTTGTGTCTTTATCAACATTTAAACTCTGGGGCAGCCAGAAATGGACTGTTACTAAATTGTTTTACATGAACAAATTTTAAAGAAGAAAAAAAAACAAAACTAAAAACTATGCTCTTACTCTTTTCTGCTTCATCAGAAATCCTAATACACTAATTAAAGTCCTCAAAGTCTGTGTGATCAGCTCGGACCCTCAGAATTTTATCACAGAAAGATCCAGTGAAGGAGAAAAACTACTAAAATTAAAATATGTCTGTTGTTGGGTTTGCTACTTTACTGTCCAGTCTGAACGTCTCTCTCTCTGTAGCTGCTAACTTATACAGAGGAAAGTGAAAAACAAACTACAGTAAGCCGGTTGTTCTATGTCATGTGCTGTTCCCCTCTGTTTACTCCATGATTCTTTGTAAAGTGTCTCCAGACGGGTTTTTATAGGCCAGTCCAAGTCAAAATCTGGGGCCGATTTGTATTCCCACTCCGTCCCTGTTCCATTCCTTCTTATCATGTATAACTTTATAGATAAAGTATTAATACGTGCTTTGAATTCCTTAGATATGGTGATGTAGTGTTCTAAACAGACTGGATGACAGCAGATGATATATCGCTCATTACAACCATAAGAGACTTGAGACTTGACTTGGACTTGAAAAAATGCCTTATAAGCATCTCTGGTGGCTGCCACTGGAAATTTCGTTGTAAATATGCTGTGTCAGACCAAAGCAATGGTACAACTTAAACAGAAGTGTTCGTACTTCTCAGCAGGTGAAGGTGATGAAGTTTAGTTTTTCTGTTCTGTTCAGTATGTTTCAGTGTTATACTTCAGTGATGTTAAAGTTTTCATTGCTCTGACTTTTTTTTTCAGATGATCCCAAAGCTGTTGTTGCAAATCTAACAGTAAGTATGAGGCTTGATGACTTATGAAATATGAACTGTGTGAATTAAAAAGAACTGATGGAGAATTCTCTAAAATGTAATAACAACAGAATAGTACTGTGGAAGAGCCAGTCGGGTTAAAGATGTGACACTGGTCATAATAACACTGACACTGTGTTTCAGTGTAAGAAAACAGAGCAGCACTTTAAGCCGTACCTGAAGCAGCACCTGCCCAAGAGACTGCACTACGCGAACAACCGACGTATTGAGGACATTCACCTGTTGGTGGAGAGGAAGTGGCACGTGGCCAGGTACAGCACCACCACTACAACAGGAAGTGCAGATATATATGATTTAAAGGAGCTATTTGTAAGTTTAGCTATTTCTACATAGCTAATGTTAGCATTAACAGCTATTTACTTACCAGTCTGTTGTTCCGCATCAAACTTAATTCCTTTACTCACCAAGAGTTGTCTCCAGAGGTGGAAAGCAACCTTCTTGTTTTGCTTCTATTTCTATCACTTCTATTCCTTTACTAAAGTTAGCATGCTAACCAGCTAGCCCCGGCCCGTTCCAGACCGTCTCGTCCAGTCTGCCCTGAAGAAGTACCTGTTCAAAGGACAAATTATAACCTCTTGTATTGTACTGAAGCTCTTGGTAACACTGCACAGCTAATAATGCTGTTGGTGTTGTTTGCTGTCGTATTATTTTCATTACCGGCGCGCAATGAATCTTAGGATAGGTTGGGCCATGAAGGATCCACCTGTTGGAGCTCATTTGAAGGAGCCTTTGAAATCGGACTAATTGCACCGCTGTGATGCAACTGGTCTTCAAATACAGCCTCTGAAGGATGCGGCCCCTGAATTGGGACACAGCTCATATTTTTCTATTGTTTATCTCTCCATTGTCTCAACAAAAGATAAAATAACTGTCACCATAGCTGTGTTTATTATAAGTATTTATTATAAACAGCTGTACAGTGTATTGGTACCTGATAAGTCCTCAAGCTCATGGATCTATTTCTTCATGTCTCACCTGTGGCTGAGAACACAACACAGCCCCTTGCATTGTTTTAAAGCAGGGCTGTTTCTGGTCTCAGTGTTTGAGATTAATATGTCCAATCAACATGGCTGTTATACAACTGGCAGATTTACACACGAGTCCACGAGTCCAAGATTTGGACAGCAGATCTGTGGCCATACAGGCAGAAAACCCAGATCATTTCAAACTGTGTCAACTTTTCTTTCATAGAACATTTATATTACCACTCAGCTGCGAAACAATGCCATTTCTTAGTATCTTAGTTTATCCTGAATGTGACACACAGGGAGAGAAAAGGAGCAAATACCTGCCAATGATTCAAAGTGTTAAATCCAAACCAGTAAGCCAGGTGGAGTGACAGAGAAGAAGGTCTCAGTAATTTAGTTTTGATTTGTGGCTTCACCTGCTAATGAGCAGCTGCTCTGACCTCGTGTACAGTCAGTGTAGATGTGGCGTTTCCTGCCCACCCGTCGTCACTGAAGCTTTTTACTGCACATCTTGCTTCACTTACAAACACATTTCATGTCAACACGGGCTGCGATCAACACGTCATTAACACGTGCAGTGCTGAGAGGGTTTAAGATGAGCCGGCCTCAGTAACAAACCCACATCTCTGTCACAGTGCAGCTGCTGAAACATTAATGATTCGCTGAAATGAGCTCTGACAAGTTTCTGATGTGAAGCAGTGAAAAGTCTCACTGCAGCGATTCAGTGACAAAGTAAACCATGAAGTCATCACGGGCAAGAGTAAAAACAAACACTGCTGTGTGTGTGTGTGTGTGTGTGTGTGTGTGTGTGTGTGTGTGTGTGTGTGTACATTTTCATGTCAGTGCAGTCTCCCTGCATAGAGCTGTCATGCTGTTTTGGTAGGTAAACCGTGGGAGAGCTACACTCTATGTCTCACAGCTCCACACACACACACACACACACACACACACACACACACACACACACACACACACACACACACACAGAGCTGCTAAATGAAAGAGATCTTTGAGGTTTCTGTGCAGCTCAGATGGACAGACGGGCTAATCATTGGCACCAGAGCTGTGAGCAAAGTGTCTGAACATTTACACACTCTCTCTCACACACACACACACACACACACACACACACACACACACACACACACACACACACACACACACACACACACACACACACACACACACACAGGCACATATACATTAGTCAGTAAATCCCAAACCAACTAACTGTTCACACTAAATGAAACACAGTTTGTCTCATTTCCCTGTCAGCTACTCATTTACATTTTCTACATGCTTGTGGCTTCACCCCAGACACACACAAACACACACACACTCATATATATTATGGTGTATAACTGGGAGTAGTGTTTTAATGGACACTTAATAAAATGTGTGTTTTTAAATTTAAGGACTGTGGTTTGAGGTGTGTGAAGGAGGTTGTCCTCTGCTGAGGACTGAAGTTTGTGAATACTGACAATATCTTGCAGTTTTCTATTGCACAGTTTAACCCATTAAAACCTGTGAGGACCTGATGCTTCCAGGTCTCTCTGAACCATCTAGACTTCTGTCACCTACAGGTATAAGATTCATGTAGTTATTAGATTTTTTTTTTACTTCTTTAAGGAGCTATTTGTAAGTTTTGCTCTTGCTACATACAGTAGCTAACATTAGCATTAGCAGCTGTTTACTTACCAGTCAAGAAGAAATGTTGCGAGTTCAGCATCAAACTTGTCTCTTGTCGTGTCTTTTTTCTACTGAAGCTAGCATGCTAACCAGCTAACTCCAGCCTTGTCACTTCCTGATAGCAAGTCACTGTACCATTTTTGCGTGTAATTGCAATTTTAGTAGGAAACTGTTCAATGTAAGACATAAAAACATAAAAACAGCCTGAGCAGGTCGTCACTGCTCTGGTCTCCCACCGAATTCAGGTTCTATATATCCTGTATGTTCTAATGCTGAGAGAACCGTCGACTGTTTCTGCAGGAAATAAGGAAAAGCCACTTTCTTGGTCTCATGTTTAGAACAAGAACATGTAAAAACGATGAATGATTCTTTAGACAGATGTGCAGCAGCCTGATTCATATCTGGAGATACTTTAATACTGAGTGACTACTTTTGACGATGAACTATGAACTTGTTGTGTAAACTCAGATCGATCACATCTCACTACAATGTGCATGAACCAGATCCTGATGTGTGAGTCATACTGTTCCCTACAGGAAAGTTCCTGAGGGGAGGAGGCACTGTGGTTTCTCTGGTGACCATGGATACGACAACAAGATCAACAGCATGCAGGTACTCTGATCATCCACAAGGATGGATTATGGATGGATCATACCATAATTTTATTTAATTGTATTTAATTTATTGTAAATCATGTGACCTGTTTGTTTTTAGACGATCTTCTTGGGGTATGGGCCAACGTTTAAATTCAAGACTAAAGTTCCCGCCTTTGAAAACATTGAGCTGTATAATGTGATGTGTGGTAAGGCTTCATGTCGTCTTCTGTGTGTGTGTGGTGGGCCATGTTTTATGTGAACCTCATTGACTGATTGATTCCTCCACCTCTCAGATCTCCTGGGTCTGAAACCAGCCCCCAATAACGGAACCCACGGCAGTCTGAACCACCTGCTGAGGAGCCCCCTCTACAGACCCACCATGCCAGAAGAGGTCTCCAGACCCGCAGCATCTGGTCTGGTTCCTGCAGGGACTGACGACCTGGGCTGCAGCTGTGATGACAAGGTCAGCGGTGATGACTCGCCTGGGCCCAGCTTCCTGTAGTCCACTAAAGTGAATTCTAGTTTTCAGGAGATTGGCCTGTCAGTCAGTCAGTCAGTCAGTCAGTCAGTCAGTCAGTCAGTCAGTCACTTATATCAGTGATGACAACAGTGAGACCAAAACCATCCTCATCTTCATCACCTGCCACTGTTCTCCACACTGACACTTTATCATAAATGAGTGATAAGTAATAATCCAGATCTAACTTTTATCTTCCATGTTTTAGCAGGCGCTGTGATATGAACGTCCTGTAGTAAATGCGATGCCTCTAAAGGATCGTTCCACTTAATTACAACTTGGAACTAGGGATGTTCCGATCTCGATCCAAGTCATTTAATATTGAGTATCTGCCGATACCACGTCCCAATACTTCACACGATTCACATTTCAAATACGTTAACATTATTAACATAAATCCAATGTATATGCTTTACAATTGAAAATGCATTGAGAAAAAAATCCTGAATCCTTAATTCCTTAATGTGTTTTTAGAATAATTTTTTAAATCAAAAGTGGAGTCGATCCAGAGCAAATCTCTGGAAAAACCAAAAGCCACCTGATAAAAGACCTCATAGGTGGTCATGAACCTTGTCGTAAAGCTCTAGTAGGGCAGTATCTGAAACATAGTGGCTCCAAAAGCTCCAATAGTCGGCGATAACCTGTGGTCTCTACCACCACGATGAATTCAGCCAGCTCAGTAAACTTTTTTTCTCTGCTATCATCCAGTGTAGGTTGCCTCGGTGCAGCCTTTGCCTGAGTTACCTGAGTGAACTCACTGTATTCTGTTAAGTGTTTATTCTTCAGGTGCTGTAGTATGGAACGCAGCTCTGTTACTACTGCCTCGTGAAATGCTCACAGAGCAGACATGGCAGTAGCTGTTGTTCTCGCTTTCCAGTTAAATTTATTTCCACACTTCAATTCAATTAGGACATCCCTACTTGGAACTAGTTTTCACATATTGATTATTGGTTCTATTGGTTTTGATGATATTGTATACACCACAGTTATGGCTGAGCTCTTGTAATGCTGCGACATCACTGAAGAAGCCTGACCGTACAAGAAACACAAGGTGCTCTGTTTCGTTGAGTGCACGGTCTGAAGGACATGGAGCATTTAGGACGTGTCCAAATCCACCAACAAAAAAATGGTCACAGAGCCGGCTGCATGGTTCAAAGGGAAGTGTTTTGGGCGTAACAAGCAATAAACAAATCAAAGTGACATCTCCCTTTAAAGTGATAGTTGGGGTTATCTGACGTGGGGTTGTGTGAGTCACTTATCTATAGTCAGTGTGTTACCTGCAGTAGATTCAGATCAGTTCTCAGTTTAGAGAAGCAACAGGAGCACCAGCACAGAAGCTGCGTGATGAGCTGCTATGGATGGAGTCAGCAGGAACCTTTTGTTTCATGTCCTTTTTTTCCTCCTCATTTCCATTCTTCTGTGTTCTGTATTTTTTAAAGTTTTGTTTTTTTGGGCATTTTTGCCTTTTTTGTGACAGCCACAGTGAGAGAGAGACAGGAAATCAGGGCGAGAGAGAGGAGGAGGTGACTTGCAGCAAAGAGCCTCTGTAGGCCAAACCTGGCCAACATTTTAAACCTCCATCACAGTTCACTGACTTTTTGGATCAACCTTTATTCAGCAACGTCTTTACGTTCCCAGATATCAGCAGCTGCTTTGGAGGCTAAAAAGTTATCACAACTGATAGACTGAGCTGATGGAACTAACGGAGATACATGGATACTTTTGGTATCTGTCGCATCACTTTTTGAGTTGATCAACAGGCCAATCCCCAAAATGATGATGTAAAACTTTAATGTGATGATGATGATCATGAACAGTCTGTCAGCTTGTTGTCAAACTGTTTCCTGTGTGTCATGAATAATGTCACAGCTCCCTCATCTCTAATTACAGTCAGTTAAGAATTAAACACTTAATTGGATCCCTCAAGTCAGGTTAGACCCTCACCATGTTCAACACGATGTGACTATTTTATTGTTCATTCATCAGGAACGATGCATTTACTGCACCACAACAGATAAAAGCTAATTTCTCCCTGCAGAACCCAAATTACAACAGTTGTGTTTTGTAGTACTTTGATATTATATATATGAGGGAGTTCATTAACCTGATGAGTCTTAATGAGAATCATCAAAAATCAGACCAAAGAGACCAGACCAGAACAGCGTCTGTGTCTGAGATGAGATAAGAAATAAGTGATGAAGTGAGAATTTATTTTAGCAATAACCCATGTGACCTGTGCACTTTTACGGCTGTTAAAAGTTACATTTATTTCACTTACTTGTCATCAGTCAGAGAATTTTCTTAGATAATGTTGTACTTGTGTCCAGGAACAAAACAATCTAAATGACAGAGTTGAGCTGGAAACTAAAATCTTTATTTCAAATGAGGAATGAACCTAATTCAACTGCTCCTCATGTGGTGAAGATAGTTGAAAGTTTCTTGATATTGTATCTGTTGCACGTTGGTATTGATGATTGGCGATAATGTAAAATCATCATCACCCTCCAGGTCACAGTGCAGATCTTCTCACCACAAAGAGGCAGCTGTTTTTAAACAAGTGTTTTTTTCAGTATTTATTTGCAAAGAAAAAAAAGAACAGAAAAAACGTTGTATGCCTTCTCACATTTTAGTACTATTTAATTGTAAGCCCACGTTCATGATGCAGATATAGAAGACAGGAATCAGCTGTAGCACAGATGAGGGTCATTGAGTTTGCTGTGTTTGCTGTAATCCCAGAAGCATTTAGTTTCCATGAACGCATGGAATTGATGATTTCAGATGCTGGAAATACCGAGGTTAGCTGAGTGTGTGGCCAGCTGTGAGATTACTTTCAACAGTACATCGAGCATCTCAGTTACTGATCTGATCTTTTTTGGGAGAGCTTTTATTAACGTTTCTGTTTTGCTTTTTCAGTGCAGTCAAACTGGTCTTTTTACACAACACACTTGTAAAAAGACTCATCTGCATGAGCATCATCATCATCAGTGACTGTTTAATTGTATGTGCCTGCCTGACCTGTGAAGATGTACCTGACTGCTGTGTTGTGTCTGATATTCAGCTTCCTGTGGAACTGAAGTCATCTTGTTGCCTCTTTGCTTCCTGCTGCAAAGCTGAAGTCAGTTCACCTCCACGTCCATTCACTCACCTTTAAACTGAATTTTGACTTTGTTTACTAAAGAAAAGACGGATCTCTCTTTTCACTGAACCATTTACACGAGACAACCTTCTCCCATCCAGACATCCTCAGTGTATCTGTGGAGATGTGAACTGTCTGGACTGGTTAGAACTGGATCCGGCTCTGCTGCTGCCTCACACTGTTTCACTTTACTGTGTCTGTGATTCCCATGAAGATCTCTGGCAAGAGATTGTTTCAATCTCCGATCTTTTTGCAGTTGCGTGTAAAAAGTAGGGGCCAGAGAGGTTTGAAAGTGACCCTTGTACGAGGCTATAACCTGGAGTCACTGTGGCTCTGTCTCTTACAGAACAAAGTGGAGGAGCTAAACCAGCGACTGAGGCAAGCTATTGATGGTCAGTGTCACATGAAAGACGTGTCCTTTATACAATCTGGAGGTTGATGAGAATTAGTCCATTCATGATATTAATGGTCGCTTACATATGATGATGTCTAATACAGTAAATCATCCTGTGACTGCCACGTGTTAATCAAAACATCAATATCATATTCATGTACAGGTGCATCATTGTGAATGTGTGCTGTTCCACTTCCTCTTCTTTGCTCCTCCTCCTCCTCAGACAGCAGGAACCTGCCGTACGGTCGACCTGCTGTGCTCTTCCGTACCAAATACTCCATCCTCCACCACAGTGACTACATTAGCGGCTACAGCGAGGCTCTGTCTATGCCCCTGTGGACGTCGTACACCGTCAGCAGACAGGTACCGTGCACCCTCCGCTCTCTGCCATGGTTAAAGCTTATTAGATGTATTTACTGTGGGATTTCAAATATTAAGTAAACAATGGACCTCACAGTATCCAGATGCTGCTGTAAAGTCTCAGTCTCATACCAACAGGAAACAGATACATCTAGTATCATGTTTGTTCCATTATTAACAGATGACTCAGCTAAATCTGAACATTACCTGTTGAACATTTCATGCTTTTGTTCATGAAGGGAAGATTTTTAAAAGAAATGAAAAGGTCAAATTAGGTCGGAAGCGTAATGCATTCACTTGAGAAAAAAGATTCCGCTCTGTTTTTCTGAATTAACGAGGTAACTATCTCAGAATTCTGAGATAAATTTGCAGCTGCTAACAGCTGTAAGTGTAAATGTGAAGGGGGGTCAAATAATAACAGTTCATTGGAGCAGTGCTTCTCAAACGTTTTCACATCAAGGAGCCTTAACCTCACACAAATTGGACCACCGAATCCCATGTTGGGAATGTTTAAACCCATGGCCAACATTGTTATACCTCCTGTCACTGTGTTACTTATGGATGGAATTATAGAGAAAATAGATCAATCCCCTTTTTTCTGGGACCCCTACGAACCTTGAGAGGGTCCCAGTTTTTTTTGGAAGACAATGCAATGCAAAATCCTCCAGCTGCCACACTTGTTGTTTGCTATTACTTAATGAAATACTAACATGTTCTAACCAGCTCATAGCTGCCGACATGTAAGGTCTGAATGTCAGTTGTAAAACTATTAAAAGAAACATTATGCATTTTCATGTTTTAAGACATGACTACATGTGAACTCAAAATCCAGATCCAGATAAATTTGTTGTGTTTTTTTTTCTGCTTTTCTCATAAAATAAATGAAACCATTTCTCTTCAACACTGATTTGCAAGTTTCAAGTTGCAAGTTATTGATTTTTCACTCTGTGCTTCAGGTGCCACATGCTGGCAGAGGTACAGTTAAACCTCTTATTGTTATTAACCAGTGAACACCTGACAACCACCAACAGTCCTGTGTGTGTGTGTGTGTGTGTGTGTGTGTGTGTGTGTGTGTGTGTGTGTGTGTGTGTGTGTGTGTGTGTGTGTGTGTGTGGTGTGTGGTGTGTGCGTGTGTGGTCCTCCAGGTAGAAATGTCTCCTCTGCCTGAAGCCCTGTCCAACTGTGTGAGACCTGATAGCAGAGTCCCTCCGGCCTACAGCCAGTCCTGCACCAACTACAGAGCTGACAAACAGATCGGCTACGCCTTCCTGTACCCGCCACGTGAGTTCAGCAGCTCAGCTTTAGACACAGAATACAGGAAGTACACACAACGTATTCAGACCCCTTCACTTTTCAGATTTCCTTTATTTCAATACATTTTTGCACATTAATCTACACTAAATAATCCATAATTACAGTGAAAACACAACTTTTTCAAACGTGTTAAAAATCAAAAACCAAAATCTCTTATTTACAAAAGTCTTCAGACCATTTCCTGTGGCTCTAAACTGTGGTCAGCTGCTTCCTGTTTGCTTGAATGATGCTTTAGATGAGTCTAGAACTTGACTGAGTCCACCTGTAGTGAACTGAATTTAGAAAGACTCACACCTGTGTGTGTCAGTTCCCACAATTCACCTGCAGGTCAGGACAAAGACATGAGGTCCAGTGAACTCTCTGTAGACCTCTGTGATCTAACTGTGGTGGGACAGAGATCTTCAGAAGTCCTCTGTTGAGATGGAGAACCTGCTGGAAGGAAAAGCATCTCAGCAACTCTCTGCATAGTTCATAGCCCCCCCCCTCCACCCCCCCACCCCCCTTCAACACTAAGTCATTATTAGTCGGTTGTCAGTCAAATGAGTTTGTTTACATCAGATCAGCTGTAGGCGACAAGCAGTGATTGAAACTCTTCTGATAACAGAACAGATAGAACTCTAACTACCTCTTTCCAACTAACAGGAAATATGTTGCCATGGATACAGTGAGTGAAGCTGTGGGCTTCAACTACAACCCCATTTTTTTTTAGCCCGTGTTTGATTGGAAAATGAAGCGTAGTGAATTATCTATTTTAACTTGCTGTTTGTTATGAACCACTGATGAACAGACAACAACACTGATCACTGACTGAGGAGCTTCTTCTTCTCTGGTTTCTGATCAGGTTTCTGGAGGTTTATTTGCAGTAGTGTTTTTTGGATGTTGATATTTGATGACTTGTTAAATGATCTTATTCATCTGATTTACTTTGGAGGTCAGTTTGAGTGCTTTGATACGATATGTGAATAAATGTAACATGCCAGTTCATAGAAAGACAATTTTAAGTTTTTGTTTTTTAATACATTTGCAAAAATTTCTAAACACATTTTTTACTGAGGGACAAAAATGTCAATTTGATCCATTTACAGTTAGATCTACAAAACAATAAAGTGGAGGAGTCTTAAGACTTCCTGAAGCTGCTGTGCAGACAGATGTAGAAAATATTTAGTAGCCCATTCATTTTCATTTTAACCTGAATATCTGTGATGTTGAAATGTTGATCAGACAAATGAAGACAATACTTTCAGTACTGACAACTCTGGACTCTTACATGTTTATAATAAAGGGTGAATCAGTGCACTGAGAAAAAAAATGTCTTAATTGATTAGAAATGATTCATAAAAAGTATTAATTGATATAGAAATAATACATGGTTGCTGCCCCAACCCAAGTCTTTGATTTATTTACTTACATAATAAATTGTAAGTTTTGACTCAACACCTTCATCACTGATCTGCCATCATCAGGTGTAGTATCTGATGTCGTTTTCTTTCTTCTCTCTTGACAGAATTATCTTCAACCACAGATAAGAAATACGACGCTGTCCTGATCACCAACACTGTTCCCATGTTTCCTGCGTTCAAGAGTGAGTCAGTGTTCACAGCTGAACTGCGGGAGAGGAGTCCTGATCGGACCTTTCCCTGTTTCTCTGATCAATATTAATCAATACTCATAGATTCAGTCCTGTACTCACTGCTTCTCTTTCTCCTCCATCGCCTCCTGTTTCCTCCATCTTTCTCTCTGTCTCTCTTCCATCCCTCTCTCTCCCTCTCTCTATCTCTGTTTGTCTCTCCCCTCCCCCTCTCTCTCTCCCCCTCTCTCTGTCTCTCCTCCACCTCTCTCTCTCTCTCTCTCTCTCTCTCTCTCTTCAACCACTCCCCCGCCCTTCTCTCTCAGGAGTGTGGAGTTACTTCCAGAGAGCTCTGCTGAAGAAATTTGCGACAGAGAGAAATGGAGTGAACGTGCTCATTGGACCCGTGTTTGACTACAACTATGATGGAGTCAGAGACTCAGCAGAGAAGATTAAAGAGTGAGAACATTTGTTATACTTGACTTTTAATTCAGCTTCACTGCAGCTACAAACGTTTCGGTGCAGAATTCAGTCCAAAATCATTTCGAACTGACAGTATGACTAACTTCCTCCTGATGAAGTTTAAATTAAATCCAGTTTTTCTTGAGAAAAAAAAAATTATTTCAGAAAAGTTTGTTCTGTTAGAAATAAAAGTTGAGCTGGATACTGTTTGGTCTTTATTGCAGGTTTGTAAGTGGGACGATACCTATCCCCACGCACTACTTTGTGGTCCTGACCAGCTGTTTAGACTTCACACAGGCTGCAGACTCGTGCAGCGGCCCGCTCACCAGCGCCGCCTTCATCCTGCCACACAGACCCAACAATGACGAGACCTGCAACGTAAGTGGCATCTCGTCTCTAAACGCATCGTCACATTTCCAGATCTGAGGATCAGTAAATCACACAGCTGATAACACCCCTCCAGAGGATCAGAGCCTCCTCTCTTCTGATTGGCTCACCGACCTGTTGTTACTAAAGCTCCAGAGAGAAGCCTGAGAGAGGAGATGTAAAACTACACTGAGATGGTTTTTGGTTCTTAAAACCACAAATATATCTTCTTATGGATCAACACTACAGATAAAACACAGCAGGAAAATATGGGGCTTTAAGAAATTCAAAGTGTCTTCAAAACTGCTATAGTTTTATACAGCTGTCACTCTCTCTACAGTATAACATTTTGGTTCAGCAGCTCTGAAATCTACAGAAATCACAGACTTCCTCCTCCCACCAGCTGACTCACTGTACAACAAACACATAATCAAAAGGGCAGGTAAAATCACACCTGACCACCTCGGGTCGATGCCAGTTTCCTTTTCTCTCTTATATGTTTGACTCATTTCAGAGTAGAACTGTCTGTGCAAACAATGTTCCAATGTTGTCAGCATAAATAGGTTCATCCCACTCTTTGCCACTGCCGTTGTCATGTCGCACGCACTCAAACATGAAGCAACGCACAGCACACCAGTCCGACACATGAAAGTAACAACATAGTGCCCGGGGGGTTCACCTGACAGAGCGCATGCCATTTCAATTCAGGATATATTACGTACTATCGGATTGAGAAGAGATTTTGTGGTATCGCCCACCCCGACTCATTATCTGTGCACCTCTGCCCTCTGAGAGGTGCTACAGTTCCTCGACCACCAAGACCACTTGGTTCAGGATCAGCTGCTGTAATAAGGATCAGATTAATTCACTTCTAATTCACTTCTAATTGCTCTGTAGTCGGTGATTATATTTACTGTGTGATGTGTTATAAGTAGCTACTGTACATGCTGCGCAGCTGACACTGCTCATGCTTGTGTGTCCTCCTCACCGCCTGCATGCAGAGCTCAGAGGAGGAGTCCCGCTGGGTGGAGGACCTGATGAAGATGCACACGGCTCGGGTCAGGGACGTGGAGATCCTGACAGGCCTGGACCTGTACCGCAGAACCACCCGGAGCTACGCCGAGATCCTCTCGCTCAAAACCTACATGCACACGTACGAGAGCGAGATCTGATCTGATCTCCGTCTGTGTTACTGATGTTTTTCAGCCGTGGTGGACGTATGTGGTATAAGAGGAGGTGTGATCATCTCTGTTACACTGACCTACACTAGCTTCAGCTCTCACCAGATGCTACGTCCTGCAATGTCCATGCTGTGGCATTTGGTTTCAACTCATTCATTTCATCCAGTTGTTAAGATGCAGCTTTAACACTACTGAGCTACAAGCTGAGGTGCTGCTCACTTTAGTTTATTGTTGTTTCCTGTTTGGCTCAAATTCAGTTAAATTACAATCACATTTCAGTGAAGTGACATCAAACTGAAATGAAAAAAAAATCAAATTATTTTCTAGAGCAGAATTTGTCATGTGTTAGAAAAATCTGGCACATTTTAATGATGTAAAAATATTTAATTGCACTACAAAGAATCAGAATCAGTTCCAGACAAAACTGTCACATCACTATTAAAGCAGGATTATTGAACTGGTGCAACAAGCACATATTTTCATATGATACCAACCCCGTGATTAAGAGGAAGTTACCTTCATTTTTTTGACATTGAACAATAATGCAATGTGTTTCCGTGTGTGTGTGTGTGTGTGTGTGTGTGTGTGTGTGTGTGTGTGTGTGTGTGTGTGTGTTTATTTTCTGTTTGTTTGACTGTTGTGTGTGTTGTGTTGACTTTTTGTTCTGTGCACAATAACAATAATGTCAATGATGATGATCTAGTATTGTGTTTTTTCCCTAAAACATTAACCACCTGTGAGGACTGACCTATTTATGCTGTATGTAAATTTCATCACAATAAACTTGTGTTTTTACTAAATCAGATGTGGTGCAGATTCAGTTACCACACTAACACTGGGTGGTTCCTCCTTTGCTCTCAAACAGCCTCAGTTCTCCCTGTCATGGTTCCACCTGATGTTGAAACTCTCCTCCATGATGCATCACATCATTTCTGCTGATATATATCATGCTGCCACTCTCCTGTTCTACCACATTCCAAAGGTCTTCTACTGGGTTCAGGTCTGGAGAATCCTGCTGGAAGTAGCCATTAGAAGAACGTAAACTGAGGCTATGAAGGGGTGAACATGGTCATCAACAACACTCAGATTGACCGTGACATTCAGACCATAATTGATTGGTATTAAGGTCCAAAGTCAGTCAAGAAAACATTTCCCACACCACCATCACCACCATCACCAGCCTGGACTGTTGGCACAAGGCAGGTTGGGTCCATAGATTTATGCTTGTAAATATTTCTTTGTCCCGTTATCTCAAGATAACAGAGCTCATTATCCTGAGATCATGAGATATCAGGAGAAAATCATTTTTTGTTATCCTGAGATAACAAGATAATTATCCTGTTATTTTGAGATAACAAAGCTTTTTTCTCATTTTAATGATCTTGTTAATCAGAGATCAGATGTGCCAAGCCTGTATACAGATGCAAACTAAAAAATATATTTGCAAATGTGGCCGTGGAAAAATTGACTTTTCTCTAACTTTGAGGATCAGGATTTTTTGAGGTTCAATAACTTGAACATAACCCTAACCCAAACTAAGTGCTGTAGTATGAGCAACAGGAGACGTGAAGTGATTTTGTGTATAAGTGTATAAGTCTGTTATTGAATAGATTTGTCTCATCTTTTTTCAGTGTTGCACTTTGTAGATAGTGCCTGCACACTCACAGCATGCTGCACATAGAGACCAATTAAAATGTTATTTCTCCATCTCAGATGAAAATAAGGATTAAGCCCATTGTCGACCTTACTACAGTAGGAAAGAAGCATCGTTTGTGTTAAAACAATTTATCGATTATTGAGTTACTGATCCCAACTTTACCACAATTACACACTTGAACCTTATAGACTCCCTCTCCACCTCCCTACACTCTTGTTTGAGTCTAATTCATTTTCTAGATGAAGATGAATTTTACATTCATTCATTGCATTTTTTTTTTCTCCAAATTTTCTATACATCGTGATTCTATCGTAGTTCTTTTGGTCGTTAGAATCAAGTGGTGTAAATGACAGAAGTATAAATGAGTTTTAAAAGCTCCATATTTTCCTCTCCTCCTGTGTTTTGTTTGAAGTGTTGATCCATAAGAAGATATATTTGTGGTTTTAAGAACCAAAAACTGACATCTGACTCACAGTCACAGAAGTCCTGACAGCTAGTTTTAAGGCTCAGTCTCTGAATACAGGCTGTGTGCATTTCTCTGTGGACTGAGGCTTTGATACTTTCACAGTATTAATATAGAAGCTAGACCTGATCTATAATCAAACTACACATGGACATCTACCTTTATAGTATATGAGACCTTTGAGGTAGACCTGGCAGTTTTTTGACAGGATGGAAAGAAAATACAGTGAAATCAATTGTTTTGCTTTCACAAATGAAATAAAAGTTTTGTGAATGTGGAAATGGGTTTCAATCTGTGCTTACGCCCTTTTAAGATATTACTTTATTATTCCTGCAGTGGAGACATTTGCAGTATTACAGCAGCACAGTGGACAGTACAGAGAAAGAAAAACTGCAAAATGACAATGCCAAATAATTAAAAAGGATAAATAATATAATATGTACAATTAAATACTTAAATATAACAAAAATGAAAATTTTATGACAATTAATGATGCCAGCTCAGTATATTTAACTTGTTTCCTTTAGGTTTAACAGCCGAATCTGAAGCTGACTTCACTGTTGTGGTCTCAGATCCATTCTGTTACTTTTCGAGTTAGGAGTAGATATATTGTTTGAATAAAACATATTTCCGTGGGTGCTTGAACGCACCGCGGGTTGTGAAATAGTGGAGAGAATTGACGCGTTGGTCCTAAATACTTTCACTTCCTACAACACAGAGCTGCGGAGGAGGGATTTCTCTGAAGTGCACAGCGGACGTTGTGAACAGAAGGTAAATGTGCTTCAGACTATCTAACCCTTTAGTTCATTTTCAAGCACTTCTTTGATTTTATTAATGCTATTAGTGCTTTAATTTTTTACAGCGCTTTGTTGCCGACGCAACGCAGTGGTGGGATTAATGTTCTAGCATTATGGTTTTACATGAGAACTCTACAGTTAGTTTTTTCTGTGCTAGATATCATAACAACCAAACAGCTGATACAGTTAACCGTTAGCCGATATGCACAGGTGTTCAAATTTAAAGCGAAATGAACTCGTTAGTTTTGAGTTGGTGTCTAATTATTACCGGTTAGTGACCGGTTCTTCACTGAGGAGTCATTAATAAACTAAGGATTCAGGAAACAGTTAAGCGGGAGGTCATTCATGCTGCTAATGGTTTAACCAGTATCACATCTGAAGAGGATTTAGACATTTAACAAGCTTATCAGGGGCCGGTTTCACAAAGATATTTCAGACTGGTCTGTAGTGTTGGTCCAGTCTTCATTTTGCTCATAGATAATCCAGTAGATAATCTCTACTCTGAATTTCCCAAGTAAAACATCCTTGTAACCTGAATTCTTCCTTGACATCTGTTGTGACTGTTCTGCAGTAAACATGGATCAGACAGGAGAAGCCACCAGCCTCAATGTCCTCACCTACCACAGAGAGCTGCTGGTGTCCAGGCTGAGGAGCACTCAGTGCATCCTGGACAACCTGCTGGCCTGTGGCTTCCTCTGTGAGGAGGATGCTGAGATTGTACAGCAAACCGTCACCAGGACAGATCGGGTAGGAACTACATATCTGTTTACGAAGGCTTATCCTGTAGGTCCTGTGTGTTTGTGACTTTCTTTCCTGTGATTATTTTCCTAGGTGCGAAAAATCTTGGAGCTCGTCCAGTGCAAAGGGGAGCAGGCCTGTCAGTACTTTATGTTCATTATATATAAAGTATGTGATGCGTACATAGACCTCCAGCCGTGGCTGAAAGAGATCAACTTCAACCCGAGCAGCGCCATCACGGTGATGGAGGTGGTTAACACAGATCCCAGTGAGTATCACAACCATTAATGCTGCCCTGTGCCAAGATGTTCTTTTTTAGGCTCACAAAAAAGAGCCCATATGTCTGACGCCCAGGTTTTACATAGGTATGAAGGGTGGAGCCAGAGCTACTCTACTGCTTCATATTGAAGTGTTCTATTATTCTGACCACCTATTTAGAATGAAGCTCAATAATAAGACTAGAACTGGGATACAAATGTAAAATATTACAAGTAGAAGTCCAACAATAATATATTATAATGTTTATCATAGTATTTGATTTAATGTTTAAGCAGCATTTTGTTGAAACTGGTGGGGATGAAGGTTATTTAAATATTTAACATTCTGTATAATGTAACAGTATATAGATCTAGATTCTATTCTATATTCGGGCTGGACTGTATCAAGATATTATTATATTATAATTTTGGACATCCCCCAAACCTGGAAGCAATAGCTGCCAGATAGATGTTGTGAATGTAGTGTAAAAAGTACAATACAATATGAAGAATCTAAAACATAGTAGAAAAAGTCGATTAAATGTACTTAGTTACTTTCCACAGTTGCCTGCAGATTTATCAAATTATAATTTTACAATGCAGTTTTGTTGAATTATTTCCAGCTGTGAACAGCTGCTCTGTTCACCTTGTGCGTAACATTGTGTTCACCAAACAGCATATATATATATATTATATATAACAAGTTAGGATTAGGTTTCAAACCTTGTGTGGCCTCATTACATTTCTAATTATTTTACTTCTTTTATCAGAAACATTTTTGCTCTCCTTGATGGGTTCTACTGATACCATTAATGGCTTCCTTATGTCCTCTAAGTCAGCAGGTATTGTGAGAAGTTGAGGCATGAAATGAGCCAGGACACCTGCTTCATCATGTCGTACGGCCAGCGAGAGGAGACCCGTCTAGAGGACCTCTACACGGACACTCTGATGGAACTGTTGAACGAGTGCAATGAAAGCCTGGGCTTTGTGGAGAGCCTGGACCAGCTTCTTGGGGACCACGCCGTCTTCAATCCTCAAGGGGAAATCATCTATGTGATGGGGGATGCCGGCATAGGAAAATCCATTCTCCTGCAGAAGCTGCAGAACCTCTGGTCCAAGAAGGAGCTGCAGACGGATGCCATCTTCTTCTTTAAGTTCCGCTGCAGGATGTTCAGCATCTTCAAGGAGACGGAGCAGATCTCCCTCAGAGACCTTCTGTTCAAATACAACTGTCACCCAGATCACGATCCAGATGATGAGGTGTTCGATTACATCCTGCGCTTCCCAGAGAAGGTTCTTTTTACATTTGATGGCTACGACGAGATTCAAGAGGATATAGATCTGATGAATGTCCCTGAAGTGGTCTCACCAGAAGCCAAGGCGCATCCCCTTCAGCTGCTTGTCAGCTTGCTCTGTGGGAAACTTCTCAAGAGCTCCCAGAAGGTGCTGACGGCCCGGACAGGGATTGAGATCCAGAGCAGGGTGATCAGGAAGAGGGCGGTTCTGCGAGGGTTCTCCCCAACTCACCTGAAGACCTACATCGATCTGCACTTTAAGGAGCAGGAACATCGGGAGCTGGTGTCAGTTCAGCTGGACGCCAGCCCCCACCTCTGCGGACTGTGCTGCACCCCGCTCTTCTGCTGGATTGTATTCAAGAGCTTCAGGCATCTGCACACCATGCACGATAGTTTTCATCTGCCCGACACCTGCATCACGCTCACCGGCATCTTCCTCCTGCTGTCGGAGGTGTTCCTCAGCCGCTCGGCCTTGCCGGCTCCGTCTCTGCTGAAGAAGAGCACCCGCTGCGCCTCAGAAACATTCAAAGCAGGACTGAAACCCCTCGTTGCATTTGCAAAGCTGGCGCTTCAGGGGATGGACAGAGGTAGCTTCATTTGTAACCAAGAGGAGGTCACAGCGTGTGGTCTGAGCGAGGAGGACCTACCCCTGGGCTTCCTCAGACCCGTCAGTGAGTACGACACCAGTGGAGGCCCTGCTAACTTTGAGTTCCTCCACATCACCCTGCAGTCTTTCTTGGCGGCGTTTGCGCTCGTGTTGGATGAAGAGGGTGCTGCCAACTCCATCCTCAAGTTCTTCACAGAGTGCAGCAGGAAGAGGAAACCGTCTTGTCTGCTCTTTGACATCTGTATCAGTGACAACTCAAAGCCCAGCGAGAAGAAACTGTTTGCAACCAATGAGCACCTTCAGTTCACTAACCTCTTCTTGTGTGGACTCCTCTCCAAGGCTCACACTGGCCTGATGGAGCACCTGGTGTCTCCTGTGGTACTAAAGAAGAAACGAGCCTTGCTAAAATCTTACCTGTCCTCTAGTGTGAAGTCCCACCTCCATGGCTTACCCCACTATAATGGTGACGAAGGCAAGAAGGTCCATGTTTTGCCCAACTTCCTGTGGATGCTGAGGTGCATCTTTGAGACAGGCAGCAAAGACATAGCTCAAATCACGGCCAAAGGCATCACAGCGAGCCTCATCAAGCTGGGTTACTGTAACGTTTACTCGGGCGACTGCACCGCCCTAAACTTTGTGCTGCAACACCGTCAGAAACTCCTGGGGCTCGACATGGATAACAACAACATCAGTGACTATGGGGTGAAGCAGCTGAAGCCTTCATTCTGTAAGATGACAGTGGTGAGGTAAGAGGTGTAAACATGTTTTTACCGACCTTCTGATGAGGGACATTTGGATTGATTCTATAATGCTTGTTCTTCAGGTTGTGCGTCAATCACCTGTCAGACAGCAGCATCGAGGTTCTTGCAGAGGAGCTGTGTAAGCACAAAGTTGTGGAGGTGTTGGGGTGAGTAAACATATGAATTGTTCCTGTGTGCTTGAAAACTGATTATACAGCGGAAAGGGAAAATTCTGTATTCTGATTGGTTGGAAGTTGTGGATGAATTTTTTAGTGGACCAGACAGTTTAACCAGACACCAATGATGTAGGTGTTCGTTTGCCATTCTACATTAATGCAGCCTTATGAAACTGCAGCTGGAGACAACAACAGCTGAGCCTCAGCTGACTTGGAGCTAGTGTAACCACCGACAACAACAACAGCAACAACAACAAAAACAACAACAACAACGACAAGAAAGGAATAAATAGCGTTTCAGTGTTTTCAGTGTTCACCTTTGGCAGCGACTACAGCCTTGAATCCTCTTGGGTATGACGTCACCAGAGGTTTGCACACCGTTCTTCTCTGCAGATCCCCTCAGGCTCTGTCAGGTTGGATTGGGACTGTCAGTGGACAGACATTTTCAGGGCTCCAGAGATGTTAGATGAGGTTGAAGTCAGGGCTTTGGCTGGACATTCACAGAGGAAATGGGGTTTCTGAACACACTGTATATAATATATAAAAATGTAGTGTTACATAGTATTTTGTTGCGGAAGGAAAAGATTTGGACCTTCCCAGCAGCAGCAACATTTAGTATTGCACTTCCTTTTGTTGAGAAACACATTGAAATGGTCAAAAGTGAAGGTGCAGAGGCTCAGATACCCTGACATTTAAGCCTCATTTACACGTTATCTGGATAATGACATCTGATCCCGGTCTTTGCATTTACACCTGGTATTGAAATGCGTTCTTGTTATCTTGACTGTGAGATCATACCTGAGATCTGATCACCATACGAACCTGGCCAACTCCAAATGTGGTCTGGTATGATCTGGTATTTTTTTAGTCACATGATTTTGAGTATACTGTAAATGAATGAGAGGTGGAGCAAGTAGTTGGGGGTTTTTGAGCCCTGTGTCGTTAGCAGCTGAACATTTAGCAGAAACTGCAGGGCAGAAAAAAAGACAAATATCACCATCACCAGTATCATGTGACGGGTTTTATTCAAAGCTATATCTTTGTGTCTTGGATACATAGTTATACTTTTGAATGGTAGAGTTAGAGAAAGGTAGGTTACTGCCCCAACAACAAGTGTTGATACTACTTGAAGTATGAAATGGTTCTCAGTAATTCAGGGTAACTGGACTTTTCTTGTAACTCCATAAAGTAAAACCCTGTTTTATGTTTTTCTGAGAGTGAAACTGAATCTTTATTTCTGTCCTCAGACTTTACAACAATCACATCACAGATGTTGGAGCCAAACTGGTTGCTCAGATAATTGAGGAATGCCCAAAGCTGCGAGTTGTCAAGTATGTTTCTAACCAACAAGAGAAAGAAATGATCTTATAATACTTCTTACAATAATTATGAAATGAACATGTCATGGTCTTATATCTGTCCTCAGGATTGGTAAAAACAAGATCACAAGCGTTGGTGGGAAGAATCTGGCCAGCGCCATTCAGAAGAGCTCTTCTATATTTGATGTGGGGTGAGACTCCTGCAATGACTGCATGGGCACAAAGGCCATGGTGGCCGTAGGGCATAACTTTTTTCTCAGGGATCACGGCCAGGGAGAGGGGCACCTGTCCTGGCCGACCAGAAATTCCTGGTTATTACAGCATATTCTTATCCAGCTGTGACATGTACAACAAAAACATCTGGAGAGACTTTACTAAACATTAGTGTTGTTAGCATTCCTGAAGTGACACAAAATAGTGACACAAAATTCAGAAGGGATTGATTGAACCCAAACTGGACAGACTGCCAGCCAGAACCAAAAGCCACAGATGAAATTAAAGATAGTAAACTGGACTTGTTAAATCTTTGTGTTTATGTGCTGACTGGTGCAGCTGAAGGTTTAGATGATCTTGTTTTCAGGATGTGGGGGAACAGCATCGGTGATGAAGGAGCAGAAGCGTTCGCAGAAGCTTTGAGGCACCACCCGAGTCTGACCAACCTCAGGTGAGAGGACAGCTACAGCACCCACAAAGGCATTAAAAACCTGCTGATTTAAACTCATCGTTTACATCGAGTCATTTCTGTGTTGTAGTCTCTCAGCGAATGGCATCACATCAAAAGGCGGGAAGGTCCTGACAGAAGCTCTGAGAGAGAACAGCGTCCTCAGAATATTCTGGTGAGCAGATCACTGACTGAGCTGAATGACTCTGCTGCTGTAAATGAAGGACTCTGTGTACAGAGGTTCATGTCTGTGTTGTAGGTTGGTGCAGAACGAGATGACTGACGATGCAGCTCCACACTTGGCTGAGTTGGTGAAAGCGAACTCGGGTTTAACTCACCTCTGGTATGGGAAACACACACACACACACACACACACACACACACACACACACACACACACACACACACACACACACACA